CCAAGTGGTGCCAAAAACTCTCTCTTTCTCTCTCTCTCTCTCTCGGGAGCATCGAATTATATTAGCGTGCTATTAATAGCGCCAAGAACTTTTTGTTTTCGAATTGTGTGTCAAATGGAGAGGTGAGACCCTGTGTCAAAAAGAGAGGAGAATCCGTGTCTGGGATTTAATTTTTAAACATGAGAATCAGAAAGGACGCACCTTGCCTCGTGCTCCGGTTGACGCCGTTCGAGAATCTCGAGTCCTGGGGTAAGCTCGATGAAAATTTTTTTCCTCAGCTTTCCTCTTATTATACCTTATTTTTTCATGGATTTTTTCCTATTTTTATACGTGCTTTTCATGCGCGCTTTTAGTACACGTGACATTCGTCGACCGGTCGAAGAATTCCCTCGAATAAAGGAAAATGAAAACAAAATGAGTCAGTGCTAAACAATTCGCAGGAATATTGATCAATTCGCTTGTCGAGATCGCGTAATACAATTATGTTGCATTTTTCATTGCTTACCCACTTGTTGCTATGATTGTTATTAACTGATTACTATTTTGGTTTCGTATTTCTGAATCATCGTTTCGATGACGTCATGGTTGATCTAGAGGAATGTAGATATTATTTCCTCTCGGTTTTTTCTCTTTCTTTTTATAATGTATAAAAAATGTATTAGTTAAGTTAGCAGATATTTTGCAAAAGCAAAAGACCATGGGTAGATCCTAAAAAAGAAATGTGTATGTGTGCCAGTGAGATATTTCTAGCACGCATTAATGTTTATGTGTATATATTTATAGAGCAATGCTTGCAATAATGATTTAATTAAATTAAAAATTTATAGATCGCACAATGTAGATCAATGTTTCAAAATTTCTAATATTTGTACTTTTAAAAGATCCTTGGATTTTTAGAAATTATGTTTATAAGTTTTAAAAAATATAGAGGCCAATAATTTCTTTTTGGAAAGATTCATTGTGAAAGACTCGATTTTATTGTATACGATTTTTTAAGCTTTTGAAGAAATCTTTAAATACATATACAAACGCAGAACAATCATATATTTTTTTCAATTATTTGTTATCTTTAACATATTACAGAACTCGGTTTTCCTTAAGAAAACTTCGATGACGCAAGTCGTATTACGAATATTAAAAATGAGATATTTAACATTAAAAATAAGTAGTCAAAATAATCTACATAATTATAAACCGTAAGTTAAAAAGCGAGTATAATTAAACCTAAAAAGTTAAATAATTTACATTACATTTATATCTATATACATATACATAAAACTGATTTTTCTGTAAATTATATATAAAGAACCACGAGAAGATGTAATTTAAACTTTATTTTTAAACGTATCTAAAAATGATCTATATTATATAAGAAATAAGTTTTAAAGAATTTTGGTAAAATTTGAATAAACATTTTATTGAGTATTATTTTTGCTAAATGGAAGTCGATTTTATATTTTTCATATACATATAAAATCTTTGATACTCGTTTTACAAAGACAATATATAGTTTCTATCTTATTTATTTTTGTTATTATGTATGATTTATTATTAATTTACACTAATCAATTAATTTTATTATATTTTCTTTTATATATCTTAAACTATTTTAATGACGAATTTCTTAAGATCAAATCGTACACAACCATTTATAAACTTGATAAAGGATTATTTTTGTAAATCTTAAAATTATTGATTATCCCAACATTGAAAATAGATCTTTATTTCTTTTTTAATCGCTTTCAATATTAGTAATCTTAGGTTGCGACACTTCATGATTTTGATTTTTCTATTTTCTATAGATCTACTTGAGTTTACAACTTGTTTGTTTTTCCACAAATCTGCAGTGCTTGTTATTCTTTCTTCAGATATGAATATAAATATAATAACAAAAATTGTTGATTCATATCAGAGCAAAACCTTGGAGTAAATATTCTCGAGATGCCGCTGTTTAGAATTCTTGCTTAAAGACAACGACGTTTAAGTAACAGGATTTTCATCGGGTGCGACGACCGTAAATCGCACCACCATCTCGATTGCCTATATCGACCTAAATCAAGTGACCCACATATACGGCTTTTCCATATATAATGATCATGCGATTTCCGCGACATCGTTTTCAATGTTTAATTCCAATTCGGGACGATTTAAATTTACGCATTAAAAGTCGCCGATTTTTTTCGATTTACAATAATATCCTACATTAAATATTATATTTATTTTTTCACACACTTAATAATTATTTCAAATTTATGAATATATTGTAAAATGAAGATTTTATATGTGATAACAAAACTATATTTATGATGTAATTAAAATATTATACAAAAATTTTTAAATATACATTTTAATTATTTTAAATATATTATTATAGATTTTATCTAGTAATTTCTTATTAAAATTAAAAGTATAGATTAAAAGCTGTGAAAATAAGCTTTTTATGGAACAAATCATTATTAGTAGTCTGAATTATCGGACTCTGTGTAATCAAAGAATTGTGACAGCAAAAAGATCTATAATGATTGCAATCTGTAGGAAATATAATTTATGCGAAGGACATATCAATTGAGATGGAATTTATGCTGTCAAGTTGCCTTTGAAAAATTCAATCTATGAAATATTACAGTAATATATGATTTGCGTAATACTTATATTATTATTTACGGAAATTGCAAAATATCAAGAACATGTAATATTAATAATGTATGGCACGGATTTAAAAATAGATCTGCGAATGTTAAATACGTGGAAGTTAGATCGATAGAAGAACTGTAAAAAATGTAAGGAAAACACTACATTTATAGTGCATTTAAAAATATTATTTGACAAAGTATTTTGTTCTCATTAAAAATACTATTCGTATACTGTAACGATGTCGGTTTGAAATCGTGAAATCGGAAAGGAGCCAACATTGGAATAATGATTGGCGACGACAGTTTGGGGTTGGTGGCCGCTTCGCGAGACCCAACCTGGCCAGGAGGTTTCGGAGCGAGGAGGGATAACGAATGAGTCATGCCAGTTGAGCCAGGCCAGGCCTTAGCAGCCACAGGTCAGGAGAGGAAGACACTTTTAGCCCACATTTCTTCCTCGCCTTCTCTCTCCTTTTCGCGTTCTTGGCGTTCCTTTATTTTTATCCACCGTCGTTTATTCTCAGCCCGTTTCTCTCTTTCTCTACTCGCTTTTTCCACTCCGTCGCATTATCCGTGTCTTCCTCGCGAACTGGGGATCCAGATGACGGGCACCACCCTCTGAAATTCCTCTTAGATCATCTGTGCGAGATGCTTAAGCATCTGTGACGCTCACAATTGAGGTTTTCGTTGAGATCGCTGAGAAAAAGAAGAACACTACAGAAGATGTACAGAAGAGTCTCTAATTGGCTAATATATTCTTATAGTATATATAAGCAACAATTACGACTCGTGTTCTCCAGCCTTTTTCTTCCGCAATTCTCTAAATTGAAGATTCTTTATTTCAGAGAATTTACGATTTTTCTAATTTTCTGATATTCTTTCACGATTTCGAATTTATGTTCAAGTTAAATTGTTTGATTCTGTGAATTTTGTGATTCTTAAATTCCGAAATCCACTTTTATGTTTCCGAAATGCTTGAATTTTTAGATTTCTTCGTTTTCAGATATTTGGAATTTTGAGCCTCTAAAATGTTTGAATTTCAGATTTAAGATATTAATTTTTAATATCATGAATCTTTGAATTTTTGAATTTTTGAATTATTTAAAGAAATGGATGAAATCATTGTTTTACGGTGCATGTTTATATTCTGACTAGATAAATTAATTAACTTCTTTAATCGATCACTTGTTAAAAATGTGTCTCATTGATGTGTACTTAAAATGAATATATTTATACATAGTTTATAGAGTTATCGCGTAAATTTTTTTAAACACATAAATGAATGATTAAACTAAAATGTCAATAGTTGTCAAAATAATGTCAAGTTAATAACGCAAAATAAGAGATTAATGAAAATATTATTTCCCTGATATTTCGCACATATAAAAAATATCTTATTTGTAAATACTCTTCAGTTATAAACAAGTCTCTTCGAACAACGATCTATATGAAGAATCAACAAATAGGAGACGGCCCAGTCATAATTATTTTGTCATTATGCCAGTTATAATTATTTTGGAATTACGGTATATGTATAAAAAAACGAATTAATAAAATAGCACTCAATATTTCTCGTAGCATTTCGAGCAAATATAGAATCGTGATCAATCGCGTGTTCAGCGTTTTGCTATACATAACAAGCGCTGCATATTTCATATGCAAGTTTGTGAAAACAAATACTGGTTATGTCCGCAATAATTTTTGTTTCAAAGTAATTTGAGAATAAAATTGTTTTTAAAAATATTTTTCTAATAAAAGAAATCGATTTATACACAAAGAGAATTTTCTAAAATATTTTTTATTGTTGTAAATATTAAACAAAGAAACTCTTATAAAATTCTTCCAATATTGTTACATGATTACCATGATTTTCAGGGTAAGTTCTAAGAGAAAATTCTCTCCGTATAACACATTTAATATATCATAATAATAAAACATTTTTCCACATTTGCATAAACCCCTAAGAGAGATGAAAACGTTAATTGATTTAAAGAGAAAAATCTCGTAAAAAAATTGATTTCTTAGAACTAATCATTCTCTTATAATTTACTCTGAAAATCATGGTGCATAATCCATTTAATATATATTATAATAATACAATTTTTCCATATTTGCATAAACTCCTAAGAAACGTTAATTGATTTAAAGAGAAAAATCTCGTAAAAAAAAATTGATTTCTTGAGAACTAATCATTCTCTTATAATTTACTCTGAAAATCATGGTGCATAATCCATTTAATATATTATAATAATAAAACATTTTTCCACATTTGCATAAACCCCTAAGAGAGATGAAAATGTTAATTGATTTGAAGAGAAAAATCTCGTAAAAAATTGATTTGTTGAACTAATGATGGCTTATCCATTTCAGGTGGACACAGGGAGTTCCACAGGCGGCATCGAGAGCTATGCGAGGACACGCTTCTGCCGAACGGCACCGCCACCGATTCCTCGACGACGACGACGACGACGACGGTGAGCGGCTGCACGAGTCCCGGCCCGGGATGTCCGGTGCTGAGCGTTTCCGGTCCACCCACCCCGCAGCCAGCCGACATCGACAGCCACCCGGCATCCCGCGTGTTGCCGTTCCTCTATCTCGGTAACGGCCGGGACGCCGCCGATCTGCAGCTACTGCGCGCCCTCGGCGCCACCCGGGTGCTGAACGTCACCTCGCAATTGCCCGGCTACCACGAGGAACGGGGTATCACGTACAGACAGATACCCGCCTCGGACTCCGGTCATCAGAACCTGAAGCAATACTTCGAGGAGGCGTTCGATTTCATCGGTGAGTGGGGCGAGATTCGGTTTTTTATGCGGAAAATAATTCTTCGTTCGAAGAGAGAGTTCGTGCAAAGAATGTTGTCAGAAAGAAAATTGTCTCTCGTATGTAATTGTAATAATAATAATAAATATATCGACGCGCCGACATACATATCTATCTCGGATCGTGAAACCACGTGATCGTTGATTAAGCGTGATTTTCCACGGTTACGTCGATGGCAGATTTCCTGCTGTTCTTCTTCCGGTCGTGTTCATGCCGTTATTCCTCCACAAAGTAGTAACGGGCCCGCAAACGGAAACCAGGGTGTAACCAGGCGTTTCCGGTGGATCATTGAACCAGAGCGCCAGAAGACCAGAAGAACCTCTCATTCATGAAAGCATGAGTCATGCGCGCGCATCTGTGAAACGTAAGAGATCTATCTCTCCCTTCATCCCTTGACCCTGTGCACTCGCTCCTTCTTTATCCTTGACGTCGATTTCTCCTCTCGTGCGTTTGTGCGTGTGCACATCTGCGATGAAAACGGCTGGAGGAGGAAGGACCGAGAAGGGAAGGAAGGATTTGGTGCGTACAAGGGAAGCGGTCGTGCGTGGCGATTGTGAAGGGGCTGCTAAGGGCTCGAAAAGATAGAAGAAGAAGGGAGACGGAAAGATGGTTGATTCCCTCCTAGCGTGCAACTGGTGGAATGCCGGTTGTATAAACGAATTCTGCACCCTTGTCCTGACCCCCCGATCTTGCCGAAGGTTTATTCCTGAAAAATTCTTTCCCTCGCGCGTTGTGATTCATTTAATTTCGAATTCAAGAATGCATGAATCTTTCATAAGGCGCACCTATTTTTTATTGTTCAGAACTTGTAGTTTTTGATACATATACACGTATAATTGAATTGCATTTTTGAATTATCTCTTTGGTGATGTACTGCCATAATTAGTTTCCGTATTATAAAACAACTTACATATCTTTTAAGAATTAATTTTTTTATATTATTAAAGTGAAACAAATGATATATATTGCCTTCTAAATATTACAAGAAACTAAATAGTTGTTTATTAATTGATGTATTAATTAACACTGTGTGTTGGCAAGTTGTTAAATCAGTTAGATAGATATTCATAAATATTCACATACTTTTCCCGCAATTGCACCCTCAGAAAAAGATATGTGTGCAAGATATTGCATTATAATTGATTCAAGAATGCAGAAACTTTCCGAAGGACTGATACAATTTTTAAACGCACGATTAGAATATTATCTTTAGAGAAAAAAAAAACATCGAACGATTTATAGCGTGCAGTCGAATTCTTTCGTAATGCGACGTCTGCATAGTCTGCATAGGATCCGGGCGATGCAGTGACTCACTGGCGATACGATAGCGTCCCCCATATATTGCATAATCGAGTCGACTGTTCGAGTTTCATGACTGCTTCGTTTCAACGTTTACGAGCTCGACTCATTTCTATTTTTCAAAAACGCGTTGATGGATTCACAAGTCTTGAAACTTTTTTTTTTAATTTTAAAGAATTTCGAAAAAAATATAAATAAATAGCATATTTTGAAGAGCATATTTGCAAGAGCGATCTATAATTTTACGTAAATCGGAACGTTTTCAATCATAATATAAATTGTTCGAATAATTGTTATTTATTTTATTATATTTATTGTTTATTCTATTATATAATTTTTATTATATAATTTTTATTATTTATTATTATTAAATTAAAAATAATAATAATAATTTAAGAAAAGAAAAATCTCTAATCATGATTTTTGAAGTCATTTTAATTATTATAAAATAAATTTTTTTCACACTGTCGAACAATTTCTTTTATTATTTTTGTCCCGCGGAATTCATAAGGTTTTTGCGCGAAATTTTATTTGTAAAACATTGATGTACGCGATAATTAACATAATAAGAAATATATTATTAATCATGGTGCAATTTGTCTTGGTGTTTCAGAGGAAGCGCGAAAAGCCGGAAGTAGCGTGTTGGTACACTGTCAAGCTGGTGTGTCGCGCAGCGCGACGATTGCAATCGCCTACATAATGCGGCACAAGGGCCTGTCGATGGTGGAGGCGTACAAACTGGTGAAGAACGCGCGTCCGATCATCAGCCCGAATCTAAACTTCATGGGTCAGCTGTTGGAACTCGAGCAGGGTCTGCGGGCGTCCGGCGACGTCATCAACTCTGCGCCGGAAGATCCCGCGACGACGACGACGGCGACGTCGACAACGACGACGACGACGAGTAGCTGTCATCAGTGCAGGTGGAGTCACCAGCCTAATAGTGAAGAGGTGGTCACCTCCGGTTGTAGTGTTTGAGATCCTCTCTCGTATCTTCGTTTTTTAAATTTTTCTCGAGAGTATCAAAATCGTCGACGCCGGCATCGAAGCGTCGCAAACGAGCGGTAAACATATCCTGAGATATCATCGAGAGCGAATGTCGGCGTTCTTCCTGTGCCTCTTCGTGACAAACCCGGATGATTAATAATTCCCGGGATTGGATGGTCGACCGTTTAAATATATCGATCGTAACTGTAGAAATTGTATGACGATATAAAGCTTTTGCGATCGATCCTTGAAAATATGAAACGCGAAATTTTTAATCTTTTCAATCTTCGCGTTTTTCAATATTTGAATTATCGCATCTTTATCCAAGGCTTTTTTTGGCCTTAAAAATCCTTAAAAATCAAATCTTTAATTTGAATATTTTTTAAATTGAAATGTTTTTAAATTCCGTGCCTTCGGGACGACCATCCAGTTAAAAGGTAAGCTGCCAAGCTGATAGAAATCAACTTATTAAGAGATTCGAAGAAAATGTATGAAGAAGATATGTTGCATATCTTATGACAAATAATTTATTTCTACAAATAGATGTACATTATTATTCTCCATAGATTGAAATATCTCGTATCACATATTAAAGTTAATTCATACGCTCCATATGCGACAATAAATCACTCTGACATCAGTCAAGCAGCTTCAGCTGGATAAGCTTGTTACGAATGTGACATATCTTCTTCATGCCATCTAAAGAAGAAAATTATAGAAGCGGATTTTCTATTCGGGAGAGGCGCAAAGTGACAGGGAGCGTATTCCGTAATCAAAAAAACTTGAGCGCTCTCTTTTAATTTGAATAACGAATAGTAACGCGTCGCGATTATTTATTTTCAGACAATGATGTTCAATCGCGGTAACCATTACTTGTACTTACGATACAGTGTTCCCTAATACGCCTGGTTGAGTCAATAGAGAGGCAAGTAAAACATACGGAGTTAACGAGCTTCTCGTTAAATAAGCGGTCAAGTGTTGTCGTCCGGCATTGTTTATGCAAGAGGGAGCGAGGGAGGAGGTTGTTGACGGAAGTAACTGTTTAAATGATTAATTATATAGGCAGCTTGCAATGTCGAGAAAAACTCGGGACTAAATGTTAACAAATGAATGTGTTAGTTTTACAGAAACTAAGGAATAATATTCATTAGATCTATGTATGATTATAATATTACAATTGAAATGTCGCGTTTAACGTTAAACACAACACATTTTGATAACACGCGTTAAGTATAAAGAAAAACACCAGTATATAATATAATGTATTTTTTATCCGTATTATTTATCACGAGAAGTCAAGATTTCCCATAATTTTAATCTTCCTGCCAAACATAACGATATCAACGTACAACAGATAAAAATCGTGCGCTTGCCTCTCAATTGACTTTTTTTATATCAGGCATGAACTTTTGCTAGAAAAATTATCCTCAGCACGGAGAAGATAGTCGTCTAATCAACATGTATAGGGTGTCACGAGAAAAAGAATGAAATTTTAATTTTTAAACTAATGGAGTTTCTTTTGCAATGATGGAGTGTCATCTTAAATATTTTTTTTATTTTTAGCCAGTTTATTTTCAAATATATATTTTTTAGTTTTAATACTGTTTTTGATACAACTTTTTCTTTTAAGTTAATGTGGGAATAGTAATAATAAAGACAACTTAATTAATTTTCAACGTTAAACGTGGATTAAGTTAATATTAAACATGACAGATAGCATTTTTCAAGGAATTTTGTTTATAAATGATTTGATGTAAAATCATTATTACATATTTTATACTACAACTATTTTTAGTTGATATTTTATATTTCGTATGAACAAATAAAATCGTTTATCTCGTATTATTATATTTTCTTAAAATATTTTATTTGAAATTAAATGTATTCAATACACAAAAATTGAAATATATAAATGAAAAAAGTGAATTTGAAGATATATTATAATTCTATTACTGCTACATCGTTCATAAATATTTTCTTATATTGCAACATAATAGCAATCTTGCAGTAGAGTATTGCAAAAATATTGTAGATATAAAATTGCAAAATCTCAACAAGATTGCAGCAACACTATGCGATATAATTTAAATATATATGCAATCATTAATTGTTACATTTTTTTATATTGATTGAATTTTTTTGTATTTTTCTAAAACGTGATATAAAATATTTAAATAGAAATCCACAATAAATACAATTAATAAAAAAACTTAATTCTCCTCCCTAAAATCCTAAAATAACGTTATCCAGAATATAAAGAAAGATCCGATTCTATGAGTAAACAATACTTAAATGAACGATATACAATAATATATACATTTTTTCTCGAGGCACCCTGTAAATCGAGATGAAGTAAAACGGAATGTTAATTTAATGGTGAGTGTCTATGAGAAAGGAAAAACCTGTTTAAGTAAAATAAAAAATGATTGTTAATAATTTAAGTTAATACATCCAGGTAAATGAAAGAGTGATAATGAGAGAGAGAGAAAGAGCGCGAAGATAGCGAGAAAGACAGCAAAGCTATAATAAATAAAGCGGATCGATCGAGATCATTAATCGAATGCGGGAATTCGCCTGTTTTTGCGTCTATATTTCGATATGCAACGCGGTTGATATTTGATAAAAAAAATATATAATAATATATCGTTCACTGAAAATAGCTTAGTTCGTTAAGCTCCCTTAGCATTTAAGGATCTTGAGATCCAACCATCGTGATCTAGTCGTTTGTTGGGATGATGATACGTACGATATAAATGAAACGAGATACGAAGCGCGAAGATGCTCTGTAATCTACGGAACCATGTAATGGTCAGACATGTAAAACCATATAATTTATTAGATAAGGTGCAAAGTGATGACGAAAGAAAAAAAGAATGGAACTTTTTGGATTATCCTTAAATAAAAGAATAGCGAGTTTGAGGAAAATGTATTGTGCCATGTAAACACAAAATCTCGCGGTTTGACCAACGAGAAAAAAATCATAATCGTCGCATGAGCGCCTTATTAACGACTTAATTATATTACCGACAATAACATGGAGAAGCTATCGCGAATCGCGAGAGATTTGTGAACGAATAGAGGGATCGAGGGAGAGAAAGAACCAAGTTCCTTATAGGATTTTGTCTACCACGACGAATTCTCGAATAATTAAAACAATTTTCAAAGAACGGTACATATCAGTGAAGCGTTGCCTTGCGATGAAACGACGAGAGAACTGATTAAATAGTCGTATAGGCGTACGATATAGACAATTAAACGATTTAAACAATTAGTTACCTTGCCAGCGATCAGGAGTGGAGAATTAAAAATACGGGAGTGGATTGATAGAAATGTAGAGTACCTGTTGCATCACACAAGATATGTGTACGTATTTTATCGAGACAATTGACAATAGCTAATACAACGACTTGCGATAAATCATGGCATTTTTCATTAATCAAACGATAATTAAAAATGGCCAGAATTAATCAGCATTTACTCTTGATTTTTCGAAACGCGGTTTATTCCTTTCGCGACTTGTAATGGATGAATAGAATCGGAGGATAAAAGTCAGATTTTTAATAGAAAAAGAAATTGCGATATATTGTCGCTTATTCCATTAATTGTCTAAAAAGCTTAAACAATGAAATTGTTTTGAGCTAGTTCTTCATCGATCCGATTCAATTTTCGATTCTATACATCCAATTTTAAAATTAGTTTCTTTTCAATGCAATTGAATTTTTGTATTATTAGTTGAAATTGTAATCTTTCCTCAATAATTAGTTTTTTTTTTAAATTATTATATTAATATCAGTCCCAAAAATCTTTTATGATTAGATAATAATGCGTAAGCAATTAAATTGGCGATTATTTATCGCACGTCGTCGTATTTTTTGTTGTTAAAGTGCGTGCGAAGGATATCGCTTGTCCTTTCGAGATGTCTGTTTGCGCTTTTTAGAGATATCTTCTTGCGAATTAATCGATACATCTTTCTTTAAACAAAATGCGACATAAAGTATTTTAACAAAGTTTTTATACAACATTTTGGAAAATTACATGTAAAACTTTACGAATTGAATTTCTGCGGCCTTCAGCGAAATAAGTTGTGACAATGAGATAAATCCTGGCAGAATCAAAGGATAAATTTCGAAAAAAATGAAAGCAAAGGGCAAACTGGAAAGGATTTGGGAGGTGAAAGAGAGAGAGACCCCAAATGTATGATCGGATCCCAACGATTTGTAATGTACAGCTACGTAGTGATTAGGAAATACTAGCATAAAGATGTAACTATATTGCGTATGTGCGTGCAAGTATTGTATTATATTAAAAATTTATTTAGTTATTTTATGAATAAAAATGCAAACTTTGCCGATTCATCCTGGGAGCTGTTTCAGTCTCGTATTTTCGCGTCTATCATATAACCTGAACTCTTTCTACATACTAAATTAAAAGGAACTATTGTAAAACAGTTTTACACACTTTTAACATTTATGCTAATTTTGAGATATGCAAACCATTTATAAAAAACTTTGCGTATTGCAGATTAAAGTAATGACAACGATGTCATATAACAGGACAATTAAGATATAAAATAAGAGTATAAGATGAAAAAAATTTTCGTTTAATCTTTATATACGTGACTATAAAACATTTACGTACATGGATAACGAGGGATAAAGTACGATACAAATCACCAAAGCTTGGCAATAAAAGTTTTTCTTCAAACAATTTTACATATTCTCGTTATATCGTTTCACATATTACATACACACTTGCCGCAGAAGTTTCCTAATTAAATGCATTATAATTAATCATTACAGAATCATCTTCGTATGTACATAGAATTTTGTACGGATCGCGTATAATAATAATAATATTACTAATAATATAATAGTAATAAAATAATAAAATAATTCATAATCTTACATCATGTGTTGCAAGTATAAAACTTACGTAGATAGTTTCATTCTTATATTACATTAGAAAATGAATTAAGTCGCTTATGTCGTAATCGGCCCTTTTGCATGGTTTCTCTTGCTTTTATATATATATATATATATATATATATAGTTCTGAGAGAACGCATTGAAACAAATAATGGCAATTAATCGGCAATAGAAATAGCAAATACATATTTATAACATGCGACCTGTGTGCCTGCAACTGAAGCTCTGCAAGCAATGATCGTTATATCATTAACAATATTTTTACAAGAGGATTACTATTGCTTTTTACAAAATGTAGCTCGCGTTGCAGATTGTAAAATCGTACATTTTATACGATTCCGTATATAGCCGGCACTGTGATTAGAGAATTATCTATTTATTTGTAATAGATTCAATCTGCGTTACGCACTAAAAGTTAGGTGTATTCTTACCTAAGTATCTTCCTTATTGCCTAGGATGATCCATAAATCATGCATCGGAGGGATATAGAAAAATTAATTACTACGAGTGCAATGTGAAAATACCCTTTTAGTTTATTGAACTAAATATTTAAGCTTAACAGGCTTATATCAACTTAAATTTTTAACTTTTACAAACTAATTCGTTTATATAGTCTCTATTAAGTTTTCAGCCTTTCAATTTCATAAAAAAGAAAGTAAAAATATATTATCAATATCGTGCGCAACTTTATTCTGTATAGCTCTATAGTTGCCGACATAAAAAAAAATATATAGCACAGAAAAAACTTTTGTGATATATTATTCAATTTTTATCTTTCGTTAAGAAAACTAAAAATCAATAAATTGCAGATGCAAGACCAAAGTTGCGAAAGCAAAGAAAAAACAACTTTGACAGAGAACGAATAAAATTATTCTTGAAGCAGTCTGCATTATATGTATTGAGCAAGAAAAAAATATACAGATATCACAAAAGCAGTTAAGATATTTAGTGCAACGCGCAATATTTGTGCTTTATAGTTGACTTGATAAATTTTCAAAGAATCGATATAATACATATAACGAAAAAAGATTCTCTACTAATTTAATCACTTAATAGAAAAAGTAGATTGTTCTTTGATCATTTTGCATTATATATATATACTACATAAAAAATATGTATATATCACAATATCAACAACGATTAAAATAGTTAACGCAATAAGCGATTTTCAGTCGTTCACCCTGTAATGATTGCAAATTTCCTAATGATCGAAAACTTGGGAGAGATACGATGCAAAAATATTATATTAGATTACAACGAAAAGAGATAAATAAATTGTTCTTGCTACGACAGAGAGATGCGAGAGATAGAAAAAATGAATGAAACAAAATATACATGATAATCAATCGAAATAATCAGCGCGGTGCGCGACTTACGGCTCATCCTGTAGCTCGGCGATTATCGTAAAGAGCAAAGAGCCATGAAGGCATGATTTTTATTATTCCAAGAGGATTAATTGCTGGCTAATGCCGCCATCGCGCGAATCAACGTAGCGTTTTCTTCGCGAAGCCGTTCTCGTTCTACGGCCATTTCGTGTTGTTGCTTCAAGAGACGAGCCTCGAGTGCCATAATTTTATGGTCCCGGTCCTCCAAAAGGGACAACAGCCTCCTGTTCTCCTCTTGCGCTCGTTCGATCAGCTGAAAATCGTACAGCATGTGTATTATCTGATTAATTAGAACACAAAAAAATAAAATTTATATATATATATATATATATATATATATATATAAATGTATAATTTATTATATATAATTATAATAAATTTATAATTATATATAATAAATATTATATATATAATTTGGCGCGTTGTCTAATTATTTTTTAATAACTTACTTCATGCGGATTGTCGCCGGTTGGTGTTGGCAATCTCGGTCTGCCAGTTGCATTAACAGACGTCTGCGGCTCGTGATTGCCATGGTCCGATTGATTAATGCTATCGGATTGATTGAGAGAATCAAATTCCTCGTCGTCGGCTTCCAAATCCGAATGACTAAAACGCAGACGTCAAGGATCGCATATAAATCACTCGACTTATCGCATGAATTAGCATATTACACTATGCCGTTTATAAAACTGCATTAGGCACGACCTTCGATGCAGATACAAAGAATATTGCACGTAATTAACACATTTTAATTTTGTGCTAATTTTTACTATTCTTAATATTATATATATATATACAGGATATATACCTGTATATACTCACACACACACATATATATATATATATATATATATATATATATATATATACATATATATGTATATATTTAATAATCACATAATTTAATTATATATATAATTATATCATATTATATATTATTTATTATTAATTATTACACGATTATTTAATAATTATCTTAATTTATATATATAATTTAATTTTAAAATGTATAGTCAATCAAATAAGATAATCTCATCCAATTGAACATATAATTTTGTTCCAAGTCTTTTTCGATTATTTTAAAGTTGTAATTACATATTTAAATTTTTATTCAGAGGAAAAATTAGTGTAATTATTTTCAGTTTTAAATGCTCGAGATCCAGCTCTCTATATTTCGTGCATATTATATCTTTTGTATCGCAAGAAGTCCTTTGAACTCCCAATTTTATAAGATTAATTAATGTTCCATGTTCCATTATGACTCATGTTATCGTCTGCATTTTTTAAATATTATCTGTTATGTATGTGTACATAGATTTTGGATGATGTGACGGATTAGATAATTTGTTAATAGATTAATCAGGATTCTAACTAGCTCTATCGTACTTCGTACAGGTCGTGCCTAATCGTAGTTCTTCCAATACGATAACGCACTTACCAACTGTGCCTAACTAAACATGACCTGTATGAAGTACGGTAGTGCCTAGAAAGCGGTTATCATTTTTATTATAAAAAGACAGTTAAAGACAATTATTGCATCATGATATAAAAGGCGCTCATTTTCAATTGTCATAAATTATCAGTAAATATGTGAAATACCTTTTGTTTCGCCTTTGAGTGTACATTCTGGCAGTCCGATCCTGCAAAATATGAATATTTTTAAATAACTGTTCTTAAAAATAATTTATCTCCTTTCATAATGATAAGAGATTATTTCTTGCTATTATTTTAATATCTTTTTTGCCATAACTGACAATATAAAAAACAAATAAATTACTATTTGTTTTAATATCAAATTAATTCCGAATAAAACGTGTATATTATATATATGTGTCAGACATAAAATATAAATCTTAATTCTTTAGAATAAAGAAATATAGATTATGGATAATTTTTTATATGATTCTTTTGTGGTGTACATATTTGTTCAGATACATTCTGTATGTAAAACAGTAAAAACTGGCTAAAATATTTGTTACACTTACTTCTATCAATTCATGATCAAGAAATTCATTGTGATGTGTGTTGTGCTTAGTTTCAAGGCAAGTGCCAGTAAGTTCCTCCTCATCTTCTCCCGTACTACCACCGGTGCTCTGAGGAATTGTACATTTTACCAAATGTCGAAGATGTTTGAATGACATTTAAACATTAAAAACAGCTATATCTGACAAGTGAGTAACAATAAACTTAGTATTATTATCTAAGAAAAACGTGATTGATAGAGTCATCAATTTTTGCATTATAATTATCTCGATACTAATTGTCTTTATAATAAAAAATAAATCAAAATTTTGAGTTGAAATTAATTCAAGAAAATATTTTGCATTTTTCTTGATAAACATAATTAGTAAAACATTTTAAAATTCAAAAATTATATTTCGAAAAAGATATTTCAATATTCTTAACATCTTGTTTTAAAAAATCAACTGGAAATTGATAATCAAAAAGGCTTAATATTAAAAAATTGTAATAATTCAATCTCATGAATTGATTAAAATAATTGTACACAAAAACTGACAATGATTTTAAAGATCAAAAGAAATTAATTTTTAAATTATTGATGAAATTTATCTGACAAAAAGAGTATTATTATGTCGTGTCTCAATTTAGTCGTTGCGATTACTTATGGGTCAATTAACAATGGCAGACCTCTGTCGACGGTAAATGTACGACTCCTGTGCTACGTCGTTTTTCTCGTAGTTTCCGACGATCGCGTTGCTGCTTCCCCTTGTTTATATGTGTTGGCCTGTGCAAACAGGATACGACACTAAAAACACTAGAACCAGATCCAGAAAGTATATTAGGCAATTACTTAAAGTTCCGTGTATTAAGGATGTTGCTGGCTAATGGACACTCCAAGTGCAACAATAAGTTTCCATATAAGTCCCTCATAAGCACATGCAATCTCGATTTACATACCGGCCAGTTACACGCTTATCCTGCTTCCTTATTATAGATTTGCTCTGCAAGTTGTCATGCTCAGATAGAAGTATGGGGTTGGAACTTGTGTCATAAGCACCTTGCGATTCTTCCACATCGGGTGTATTCTCTGAAAAAAGTGATAGAAATCATTAGAATCAATTAGATTACTATTAACAATTTTTTTAGCTCATTATTCTTTCATCAAATCAAAGGATACAACTACTGGACACTTTAATCTGTATTATTAATATACATAGAATATTTTAGAAATAATTAACACTAATTAACTATATCAAATAGCTATAAAATTTAGTTATTCATTCTGCGTTATTTTCTAATGCAACTAAAATACACTATTAACTATTTTGTACATTTTATTCTTAAAAAAACATTCTAATCTCATCACTTGCTTATAAATACTTCTATCAAACACATACTTTGAAAGCTTATGGAAGACACATCTGTTCTAGGTGGACCCACTCTGGCTCTAGCGGTCCTGATCCTAGATCGCCTGGATGTCAATTCAAAGTCATTGTCAAAGTCTTCCTGACTGACAGAGCTGGACGCCATACCGGCGATATCGCTGCAATACAAAACTCTCATTAGTAATACCAGACAGGACTTACAAAAGCAATCGCTATACAAGAGTGTGCATGTGTTGTGTAGAGAGAAAAAAATGGGTCCTTACAAAAAATACCTGGACATCTGAACAAAGAGTAGGTAGGTTGTGACGTGCGATACCTATGGGGATGATGATCGTCCCGTGCGGCTTTTAAAGTTTGCTCGTTTTAGGCTACTGTTCAGGACTCGTCTGTGAGAAAAAGGGAGAGGAAGAAAAGTCGAGAAGAGAGCTTTGTTGCAAAAACAACTCGGGTGAAACGGATCAAAGAAAAAAAAGAAGACGCAACGTGCGCAGACAAGTAGGAATGTAATCGAGAAATTGGACTACTACCATCGATCGTGGAATCACCTGAAGAGGCCCTCGGCTGCCGATCCGGTGACTCACTGGCGACCCGAATGAGGGATTGACAGCTGTCAGCCGACGTGAATGATGACCGTAAACACAGACGGCCGAAAGGAGCACATAGTTGGACCAAGCTAGATCGGCGTATCGATCCAGTCGAGCCGGTGGAAGGTGGATGAAGGCTCGGGAAAAGGCTCTTATACGACACCTTTATTCCTTAGGAACACGACTCTTCGATCGACTGCTGGAGCTCGGAATCCGCTACGAAACCTCTTGGTGACTGCCAGTTACTGCTACTTCTCTTCGTCTGTTGTTCACTGCGCTAACCACCCCCACCTTCGTGTAAGTACGATGCGTAGTATGTCAGATGACAGATAGCCCGAAGAAAGAGAGAGAGAGAGAGAGCGCGAGAGCTTGGACTGCGTTCAGAAAACGCAGCGGTTCTGCAAGCGTTGAGCGAGCGCAAAGTGATCGATGAATGGTTGCGTTCGGAAAACACAACAGCTGGGGCTGTGTTTTGACTGAATATACGTCACACACACACACACACACACACGCACACACACACACACATATATATATATATATATATGAATGAAAATGTACATACGTATATATATATATGAATGTTTTTTCTTCACACTAGCACTTTATATTAAAATTAAGTGTGCCAATTAGCTTCTAACATTATGATGTAATATATATATGATTGAATAGTATATAGTATATATAATAGCTCAAGTATTTAAGCAATTTGAAATTTGAAACATTATTCAAATTTTTCATATTATTTTTTGTATTTTCACAAGTGTTATAATGTCAAGTAATTTTTAAAACATTTTTAACATTGGAAGTCAAATCTTTTTTTAATGTAATATTTAATATTATAAGATTATAAATTATTAATCATATTTATTTTATAATACTCTGTATGATATTAACATATTAAATAATTAATAAAATCTAAAATTGAAAATATTAAATATTTTATGTATAGGCAATAGAGTATATAATATTATAAAATGAAGAATTGTCATTCACATATTTATTTAATCATATAATACATATGTCAAACAGCATGAAAAGAAAGCTCTATATAAAGATAATAAAAAAATTAATATATAGTATAATACTCTGTTACTCTGAGAAAATATTATATATTCAAGCAAAATTTTATTGAAAAAGATAACTCTGAATTATAAAAACAAAAAAATATCTACTGGTATATAAAATTTTTATATATAGAGAAGTACAAGAGAAATAAATGATCCCTATATTAAAAATTTTAACTAAAATAATTGCAATATATATATTTATATATATTTGTAGCACACTATACTTGACTGAATTTAATTTTCAAACATATATATTAAAGCTTATAAAAAGAAAGAGAAAAAAGGAATGTTTATTTTTAATTTTATCAAATTATATCGTCAAATGATTATAGAATAAATGAATATTACTATTCAGTTATCTTGCAAAGAAAATAAGAATATGATATAAAGTATATTTATGATATAACTTTAGATAAGCGACTTATTGCATAAAACTTATAATTATCCAATGTATCATATTTTATAAAGCTTATATTATATATATATATATATAAATTTTTATAAAATTTATAAACTTTATAAGCTTATATAATAATAAACTTAGATTTTTTAATATTATAGAAATAGCATGTTATTCAGATGATACTTTTAAATTATCTATATGTTGATTTTTTGAAACATTTTGATGGAACATGTCCTCTTCTCTTGCAAATAAAGCATATAGTATTTGCTGCAGAGCATGCAGATCTAGATGCGATATGTGTTAAACCACAATAGTTGCAATTCAATACTGTTGAAATCGAACATTTCCAGGAGAAATGATTTGTTCTGTTACATTTGTTACACTCGTTCAAATAAGCAGGACACTCTCGAACAAAATGGGCTTCCCCGCAGTATAAACAATTATCAATAAATTGAGAAGGACATCTTGTCCAATAGTGATTCTCGTTACCGCACTTATTACATCGTTTTCCACGAGCATAACAGTTATACATTTTATGTGTTCTTCCACAATTATTGCAATTTTTAACTATAAAATTGTGGATTTCCTCACTTCGCTTGAAATTTACATTCTCATATAACATCCAAATATATGTTATTTCTTTTACAGTTAACGACTGTATACTCGATGGAAATGAAAAACCCATAATTAAACTTTCAGCTTTTCTTGTAAATTTACCTTTGTCAATTTCCATCAGAATTTTTTCTTTCACTGCTTCATGTGTACTAGCCATATGTTTTGATGCCATTACCTAAGAAAATAAAATTATTATTTAAGTTTTTATTCATAAAAAATTAAATATCTATATATTTTATAATAAACACAAAACCAAGATTTAGATTGTATAATATTCATTACGCTTAAATTCTTTAATATTTTAGAAATTTTATGTTAATACCAAAAATAAGAAAAGTAAATTATTCCCAATCACTTGTATAGAATAATCTTAGAAATTAGAACAAGCTATAATTTCTCTAAAGACAGGAAAAAATAGCACATGAAAATTTTACATAGTTTGATGAACTCTATATTTTGCCTATAATTATATAATGCAGTTTAAATAAAAAAAAATCACATTAACATACCATCAGGTTATTGACATATTCATCGATATCTTCATCATCTCCTCTTCTTCTACCTCCAAATATGCAATAAAAATCGAATTGTTTTAGCAATGCATCTATATCTTTAGCATCGTTCTTATCAGACAAGAAAGTTCTATAAATTTCTTGGCCAATAGGACCCATACGATTTAAGAGCATTATACCCCAGTCTTGTTTATTACTCTCTGCTTGGTCAATTGATTTCATATATTTAAGGAACTCATCTTTCCAAGAAAACCATTCTGTCATAAAATCATCTTTAGTAGATATTTTATGGGGTGCAGCAATTGCAAACTTATTTTTCACTTCATTTGTTTGATTTTCATTATTGTATTTTTCTTTCTCACAAGTCTCCGTCACAAACTTAGATTGAATAATTGTATCATTAAATGTTCTCTTATGAGATTTATCAATTTCATGAAATGAATATTGTTTTCTTTCAGAATTTGGATAACTTTTGTAATCATTAGATTTTGGAAATGCAGTATTAGTATTTGGTTTATTATAATGAATATTATTCTTCACTTCACTTGAAGGACTGACATCATTGTATACTTTTCCATTTATATCTACAATTATTCCCCCTCGGCTACGAAACGTTTGTTCACTTTTACTTTTGGAATTACCTGTAATATTATTTTAATTAGAAAGTTACTTAAAACTCATTTAAAAATATTATTTGTAAATAAAATAAATAATACAACAAAATAAAGTAATAAAAAATACCCATTTCTTGTGACAATTGCACACTATTTTACATCAAATAAAGTGTACGTCTAGTAATTCATATAAATCTCAAAAATAAAATAATGCTTTGTGTTGAATTCTAGTAAAGCCTGTGGACATATAATATTATTTAGTTTTATCATAATGAAAAAGAAATAAATTAAGAGACAGAAAGAGAAACAAAAATATATTTTTAAGGAACATTTTTATTGTAAATTTTTCAAAATTCTATTAAATATAATAAATGCCACTATTCAATAAAATAGTATTTAAAAAAAGGAATTCTGATTTCTATTACACTTACATATTTGTGTGTAAGAGTATTCAAATATGTATAATCTTAAAACTAAAAATGTACTTTTAATGCGTTTCATAATTTATTGTAAAATAAATACAAGATGATAAAAACATAATTAAAATAATATCATGTTAAACTAAAATTCATATTTAACTATAGCTAATAGTAGAAAAAAAAATGATTTGTAATTTGTGTAAGAGATGAGCTTCAAGTTACTAAATTCTTCTATTCTTAATCAAAGAGTACAAGATTATATATTTTATTATATATCTTATTTATTGGCATATATTAAAAAAATACAGGAGATTAAAAATTCTGTAATCTTATCATTGAGAATTCATTGTTATATGGAGGAAGATACATATTTATATATTTTTATATATTTTCTATGCATATATATATATTATATATTATTCATTTTTTATACATAAGAACAAAACATATTTATATATATGTAGAGATATTTGAAATCATCAGTGATGAAAAATAATAATAAAACACAATCCTCTCAACCAAACTGCCAAAATTCTTTTATTAAATCTACGTTTCGACCTTATAATTAGTCAGTAAAACAAAGAAATCATTGCGTAAAATGCAAAACATATATATATATATATATGTACGTGTTTCATATATACGTATATTTATACTCACATTTGGCTTTCAACGACTTGTGGTATAACAATATATAGTTATTTGTGAACCAGTCTTTGTTAGTCTGTACACTCTCTATGGAACTTTACTTCTGTCCTGTCTCTTAAATATTTATCTGTATACTTCTTTTATCTTTGAATATAAATAACTGGTGACAGAGAACAAGAGATGAGAAGAGAGATAACCTTCTTTACTGGTGAATCATGGTGAATCCCCATATGATTAAAGCCTGCTGCACATGAAGCGTTTGCGTCAGATTGATGAATAGAAACACAGATTAATAGACAGATCGCCAAAGGCCTGTCTAAGAGGAGACCGTCATTTTTGCTGTTTTCCAAAAACTTTGCCTTTGGTGCGAGTTCAGGCTAAAATCTTTTTATTTTACACGTATAATCAAAACATGTATGTAATATTAATATCGATAAATTACCTAATACTGATAATAATGACATTTATATTACCGATCAACAATAATGTAGGAAATGAATATCATGATAAACTATGCATAGAGAATGACATATGTCAAACATCTGTTTCCGTGAATGATCATTTATATTTTTATTCTGATCTCTATTCTTATATTCTCATCTTCCACTCGATTATTTTCGATTATACTCTCTTAAAATTTTAAATCGAAAAAATAATTCAAAATTTTTTTGAAACAGTATATATCAATAAAATGCAATTATGTAACAGATAATTATTTATAAATTAGAATTCTTAGAATTACGTTTTAAAGAAGTTTTAGAATTTCCTATATATATTAGTCTGAAAGTATATAATATATTAAATATTATTCCAGGTAGCAAACTAACGTCATTAAACGTCATTTTGACGTCGAATGACATTATTTTGACGTTTAATGTCGTCAGTTTGTTACCTGGGATATAAATATAATATATTATATTATATATTAATAAATATATAATATTTCCTATTAGTCTGAAGATATAGTATATTGCAAAGATGTAAAAAGCCCACACTCGACTTATTGCTCAATTTTTCGTAAATGCTCCGTATGTAGCCGCAAGTCTTTCTAGATTGGTTTTAATTCAGTTTAGTTTGACCCTGAATTTATATGCCCTTCGTTAATTGCATCACTGATATATCGCGTTAACAGCTGCTATCCGGGAAAAGGAAAACGGATGTTCACAAAGTTGCAATATCACATCCGTTGATTAGATATATAGGATATATATGTGCGGTTTTTACATAATAAACTTATCGAAAAATATATATAATTCTTTGACGAGTTTAAGTTGTTTTGAAATTAAGTTAAAAGTTTGAATAAGTTTCTCTTACAATTTGACAAAAGGTTGAACCATACATTTAACATTTACATTGCATATATTACAACATATGTATATAGTACATAATGTATTTCTTTTTGAATATCTAAATATTTATATTGCATGTTACAACATATGTAAATGCTAAATAATGTATTTTTTTTAAACTTTTAAAAAGAAGTACATTTAAATATAATATGTTGTATGTAAATGTTAAATTATTTAATTTTATACAGAAGAAAATAAAAGAATATATCAGAGATATAAAAATTAATAAACAATTATTAATATTTCCTAAATATTTTATGTCACCAATTTATCTATTTTATATTTTTTTATAAAGGAAAATAAATATCATCAAAAAGTAAATTATTTAACAAGAATTACTGCATAGTGTGAGAAAAAGCAAATAAATGCAAGTTGTCGCAGATGTTATACATTAGACTTACTGTCTACATATGTACATACAAATTTTACATATGTGACTTTTAGACTTAAGAATATTATTTTGGCGAAAAAAATTTTTATGTTTATCAAAAAAGAAATAACGACGAAAAAGATTTAAGTGCATATAATTATGCATAAATTGGAACCAGTATGTTTAAAAATCGGAAAAACAGAATTAAAAATTTCAAATAATAAAATAAATGTTTCTGTCATAAAATTTTCAAATGTTTCGTTGTGATGCAATTTTCATAATTGATATTTATGAATTTAATGTAGAAGAGAAAAAATGAGAAGAGAAAAATCTACAATAGAAAATCGGGTCACTTTGTAATCGTGGAAATAGATGAGTCTCGCGAGTTTTTACAGAGGTGTGGTTAAAGTGTAATTATTTTAAAATGTGTTTCTCATTAATTAAAATATGTCCCCATCCGCACAGATATCACGTTGAATTTTTAGATGTATATCACATACTCCGAATAGCTCCCTAATAGTCATGTTTAACTTATAATACTATATTTGCAATGTCACTTTATATTTACAAACTCATGACACAATTTGTTCTGAGGCAAAATCATATTACGACTGATGGTTTTACCGAGGCGCGACATAAATAGAATCTACATAAAAGAAAAAGGTTTCTGTGGTATTGTAAGAATATTCTCTCTCCCTCTCTGTGGTAAGAATGCATTATGTGATATTATTCGATCTTGTTCATTATTACACTTTAAATGGCAGAAGCACACGATGTTGTTTTAGTTTTTCTTCGACTGTTTCGAAATCGATTTGTGTTCTCAACAAGAATATCGAGATAACGCTTGAATAAAAAATGAAGAATCAAAGATAGGAATAAGCAAAACTTTAGAAATGATTCTGATAAGCTAAACTTTAGAAATGATATTTTCAAGTATTCGCTGTTGAAATTAATATTATATGAACACGAATACTTTTAGAAAGTATTGTATACTTTCTAAAATTTACATTTAAGAAAAGAACAGAAACGTTCAAAAATTTTTTTATATTGTGTCATTCTACGATTGCTTCTTTTGAAGTAAAAAAGGTTTTTCTATATATAATATATATATATATATATATATAAGTTTTTTATACATAATTCAATTATTCAAAATAATAAAAAAAATATTTTCCCGCGATAAAACCTCTCGATCAATTTGAAAATTTTCCATTTACTCTAATGCACCAAAAATGATTGAATGGTTATCTAAAATGAAGTTTTTCATCAGTTTCTTCTTCAGTAGCTTATTCACGAATCTCCCCATTGTTTGTCACTTGAAATAAAATCTGAATTTCTCGAAGCCACGGGGTTCCCTCCTCTCGACCGGCCCTGTGACGGGTCGATAAAGCCTCTCACTCTCTCCCGCTTCCACATCGCGCACCCTCTCCGTGCCACGGCCTCCTTCCTGACAATCCTAACGAGAGAGAGGGACAGAGCGTGAGAGTGAATGGTACGACGGGGTCGGACGAGGGACGGTCGAGCAGGACGGAAGATCTCGGAGTTCTGTCAGTGGCCTCTCGGACACGGAAGCGTCGAAAAGTGGAGAACGTCTCTGCGAGAACACGGGGCTCTCCTCCGCGTCTCGGTCATCCCGAGGCATCGAGTGCCGCGTGCGCGAAGATCCGGCACGGTAAATTAATTGATCGTCGTGCGGACCGTTTGTGTGCGCGAAAAAGGCGAGGATAGCGAGAACGCATCCGGTTCCAGCCACCCTTCGGTTCCTGTCGACGTCCCGCGACGTCGTACGTATGCGTTTACATACCGACATCGCGAAATGTCAAATCGAACATTCGATCGGTTCATCCTGTTAAATTAAACGCTGCCTCCCGAACGAGGAAGATATAGTTCTCGTATCACCTGTTTAGGGGATGTTTCGTTTCTTCCAGCTTCCTCGAGAAACCTCCGCCACGGAGACGATCGGCGCGTGATGAGAGATCCGTGACATGACAGATCACGAAGCATCATCTTTGTCAAAATCAACGAGAGCATGGCGAGCAACTTTCTCTCTCTCTCTCTTTCTGTTTATCGATGTTAATTTTCCGTATCCCTGTTTTAGTTCTTTATTCGTTCTCCAATATCCACCCTCAACGATAGTCGATACCAGTCCGCTGAAAGCACGAGAAAAAATATGTTTAAGACAGTTGTGGAATACCGTGTTAGCACGGTTCTCTTTAGAAGCTTGTGATGGTCTACAGCTGTTTCATATAAAAGAAGCCGTTCTAAGTTTCCCACACTTTTTTTATCCACAGAAATTCTTTGATCAATCTTGAGCCGACTCTTCTTAACCACTGACTCGAGATGTTGATGAAATGCCTTATATGAAATTTCATCACAACAAAAATTTCGAGGTATTTCTATTAGTTTTAAAAATGTACAGATGATCGAAGAGAATTATTTTGAATTAAATATGAGTAAATGATGAAGAATAACAAAAATAAAACCTTTCATTTTAAATAGATTCATCTTAACAGAGTTTATGAAAATTTAAATCTAACATTTAAAACTTGATTTTGAGATCTTGTTATCTTATTCTTTATTTCTTTATTATAAATTAAATATTTCTAAAGAGAAAATCGATTGATTTTCAAACTCTTGCAACTTTAAACACAAATAAGAGACTGCTGATTTTTTTATACTCTTGTTATAGAAGTTTGCTAGGGGTTGATTTATGAATACGTGGATGAAAACAAGTTTGGAAAACCCGCAGAATATTTGACGTTTTCGATAAATTTTTCCATTTGACCAATGATATATATTCGTACATGTTTCCAATTTTTGTTATGTCATCTTGCATATGCTTATAATTTATTTGTCTTACTCTACCGAAGCTTTTGCCTTGAAAAAATATGTAATATACGCTGCAATAGTCACGATGTAGCAAACTATAGACGCAAAATATAGAACCGTAAAATATTATGCTGAAACACTTATTACTAAAGATTTTCACGACATTGACTGCAATTTTCTGACTAATGAAATTCTTGAACAAAGATTTATAATTTAAAACGGTCGTGTTTCAAATGCGAGTTATGAGTATATTAAGGATAATAGTTAAAACCAAATTAAATATATGCAGAAACATCTATCTTCTTTTATACCTTTAAAACATATGGTTCATCTTATCTCATTTAAAATTTTTAAAAAATTAATTTTATAATATAAAATAAAATCTTTTATAAAATTTGATATTTCTTACATAAAATCTGCTATATAAAATTATTGCAACAAAAATTATTATTATTAAATTACATTTTGCAACTAATGTTAATGAAAATACCTGTCACTGCTTTAGATTAAAATAGAGAAAATTATGGTACAATTAATCGTGACATATACGCGGCAATCCATCTTTTGTCTTTAACTAACAAGAATTGATTAATCTTTTTGATGCGTTATTACATCGTCAATCATTATACGCAGCAATTGTTAGCAAATTTTAACATTAAAAGATGATAGATGTCCAGTATTGTTAGATGTTTGCAAAAGTTTTTCAATCAAGACGCGCTATCGATCCCGGTCACCCAAAGATTCGTTCGCGCGTCTTAGCTTGCACTCGCCGAGGAAGTTTATTAAATCCCTTGTCACACACTGTACAAAGCAAGCTTTGCAAAAGCTAAATCCGAGGAGATTGTGTTCCGAGAGCGCTTCGACATACCGAAACTGACAGCTCCGGAAGAGAGATTGCGGTTTATCACCTGCATATAAAGATCGTCGCGCAAGAATTGCATACAATTACGCTATCGTTAAAATAATTCGTCTCAGCATCTACATAAGAGAGGATGAGTTGCTTAAAGATTAGAAGAAACTTATGTATAAAGTGCAGTCAAAATTGAGAAATGGTAGAATGAATTTTTGTTTGAAACTTTGTTTTGATTGATTTTATATTATTGGAAAATTAATATCTTTCATTTTATCTCGCAAAAAAATCCTTCATGAATTTGTATAATATATTATACAAAAAAGAACATACAGACCCATAATGGATGATAAATTAATGAATCATATTTCTCCTTTAATAAGAAAAATTGTTTTCTTGCGTACTTTTAAAAAAGATTCGAAAGTAAAGTTTAAATATTTGTAGAGTATAAAATAATAAGGTACAATATTAATGATTTTTATAACAGTCTGCATATAAAGTAACCCAGTTATTGCCTAAAATGATGCAAGCTATTTAAAATTATAATATATTCTTTGTCGAAACATATATACGGGATGTATTTTTGTTATCCAGTTTGGCTAAAATTACACGGATCGTTGGATGACACGAATGCAATTTATGCAAGCGGCTAAAACGTCATGTTTTCGACCTCTTGAAATATGTACTAAATATATGTTAGTATTCCTATTCCTGCTTTAACGCTATCGATGAAGACTTCTCGGCTGAAACTTTATAAAGATATTAATATATGGAGAACAGATTAATTGAAACAAATATTAAAATCAAATCGAAAGAAAGTGCAATAAATCATATTCGCAAGATATTTTACTCACACAATTAATTCTTAAGTAGATAAATATTAATGATGATTTTTGCATCTAAATTTTAAATTATTTATTAATTATTATATATTATATTATCACTCTCACGTGTAAAGCGACTAAAAATATTATTGAATATAAAAAAATCTATATAAATGACAAACTTTCATTTTTTTATAGGGATAATTAGCAATTCAAATAAGCTATGAAAGAGCCAATTTTATATGCGAATTTTAAAACGAAAAATTGACCTTTTACTGTCATTTTTATAGCAAATATTTTTTTACGCGATACTAAGAATTATGACGATTTTTTACTTGCTTTTACCTTACGGTACGAAATTAAGGAATTTTATGTCATATATAACGTATCGGTATAACATGCAATTGCGCGTGGAAAAGCGTAATTAGTAGTGCGTGCTAACGATCGATGCGATTAGACTGGTGCGACAGTGTGGCGTGTTCTCTATCGATGGTGCCGTACATATCGATCTATGCATTTCAACCCTCTAACGCACTTTACGATTTTAGCCTGCTTTACCTCTGGGAAATCTCGGAAGTTTCCTCGCGCGATGAGAAGTAATAAGAGAAAGTATATATAACATATTTATATTTTTTTATTTATAAAAAATCTCAAAATTATATCGTGGTATTAACTTAAATATTTGTTCAATTATTTTAAATTAGAATTTTTTGGATGAGATTAAGATGGAAAGTGTTTTTTCTTCAACAAATATATCGATTAAAAAAGAACTTTTTAAGAGAATAGATACGCAACATTCATATTTTGCAGTTAATTTTGAGTTCTCTTTTAACAAAATTTTAATTTGTGATTGCAAAGGTATGTGATTTAATTGCAACAAAAGTATAAAAATTGGAGAATTATATAATAAATAAAGACTCATTCCAATATTTTTACTACAAACAAATCGATTGCAAGTTGTTAAAATTATAATAGTAAATTGTAGTACTGTTTATTACATCTGTGTGTGTGTGTGTTATACCTGATTTTTATTCATTAAATTTTCACGTTATATGTGGGATAATATTTTTTGTAATTCCATCCCGTATATTACCGTCCAGCCAGAGCCAATATGTTTCTTCAAAGTTTATTCAAACATGCTAATTGGATTCTACGATCGACAAATATATCGTGAGATATCACTCGGAAATCCTGAAAATTGTTATATTTTCCGTAGTTAATTGTAATTGTAAAATATCATTGCAAGTTAAAGATAAACAAATAACAGTTCCATTATAATTCTGAATCTAGCAAACAATAACATAATAACATTTGTTTAATAAGTTAAATGGTTTCTGTTTGTGAATAATAATTTGAGATCGGAATAAACTGCGAAATATTAGATTATTGCATAAAATGTAATAAAAGAGAACAGAAAATTAATTTTTTCTGTGTGTAATTATTATCTTTTATTTTCGTGTTAAACAAAATATGCTTATTTTATATAGAGGATTTTCTACAATTTATGATCTTAATTTTAATGCCAGATATAAAATTTGTCATTATTCATTCATTATATTTAATATAAAATATGATATTGAATATAAAATTAGTGAGAAAAATGCAAATGATATACATATTATGATCTTTCAATTTTCAAAATTTTATACGAGAACGAAATTTTACATGAGAAAATTTTATCTACATTTTCCATTTTCATTCTACATTTTTGCATGTAGGATTATCTTCTCAGTTGTACCATCAGTTACGAGACATATCCTGTATTTTGCCCAAAGCTATTTATCTGTCGTTTCGAATGACTTTTTCAATTCAGGTCACAATCTCCCAACATACATTCGTATTTATTCGAGTATGTGTGCACACATATCTTCCTTATATATAACAACGTAACAGCAATTGACGGAAGTTAACACCTGTGCCTTAAAAGGTGGACAATGGAAAAGGAGAAGTTTCCGTAATTTTTAACTTTAGTTTTATACTAAAAAACGCACGCTGTAAAACTGATTCACAACAATTTCCAAGGAAAAAAAAGAAAACACTGAGCTTATGGTGCTGCAGAAGTCATCGAGCATCACGTGGACACTGCAAAGTCGGAATATGTGCCGGTTGGTCAATGTTATTGCAATTCATTAATTCATCGACGAAATCATGCTATCGGAATGCGGTGGATTAGTGCACTTCAAGAAGAGACTAAAGCCTTGCAAGCAACGGTCTCGAGAACTAATTCGCGTTTTCGGAGGCTAAGATGAGCAAAAGTGTGGAGTTACTCGCTGGATCGGAGGACAGTGAGCCAACACCTGCAGGTGAATAACGTTATTACATGTATTACGTTAAATGGACTCTTTCATTTTTCTGTATATGTAATTGAAAATTACTTCTTTTCAAATTTTTGATTTTATAAAAATTGTTTCGAGAAATTGGAGTCTATATAGATTTCACGACTAATAAGAATTTAACAAAACAATATTTTTCTGTTACAGATTAATATAATAATTAATTAGTGAAAAATAATGTATCCATTTATAGTGAACATTTTTTCGAGATAAAGTTTGTGCTTTTCGTGTAATTAATTACATTTAATATTCAAGAGTTTTCAAGAAGTCAAATAGTAGGACATAGAGTGTTTAAGTTAAGATCATTATAAAAAGGTTGGACATTGTTAACTTTCCTAACTTTCCCAGCTTCATATTCTCCTTCGTAGATAGTTTATATATTTCTTTTTTCTTAACTAAAATTTTTTATAAACTTCGAAATGAGAAATTATAAATCTTGTGAAAAATTCTCGCAAAATTCTCAACAATTTCTTTAATGTTAAATAAAACGTACGTCGAATTTCTTATTTGTCTGTACATGTCAACATCCGATGTAATATCCCTGTTAGATGACTGGAACACCTGATTGATTTCCGCGATACATTAACGTGTTAAGATCATTTCCGGTGAAAGAGAGACAAAATCCAATAAACGTCGAATGCATTTGCACTCTCTGCACTTCCGGACATCATCCCCACGTCCGGAAAATGCTCTGATATTTCCACATTGTGCACAATATTTTGACTAACGGAAAATCGATCTCAATTTCATCTGAAAATGTTTTATTAAAATTAAGATCATGGATAGTCAGATATTAAATATTCGTTATATTAAATTTGTATCAGAAATATAATTTATAATTATAGAAATATAATTTATAATTATATTTGTATTTAGATTCAGTGATGCAATAATTTATTTGTATTATATTTCGATATTATAAATCGTATCCAGACTCATTGATGCAATAATTTATTTGTTGTGAAATAATTAAAGCAAATTAATGTAAACATTCTATCTGTTTAATGTTTAGTTGTTTTTAATGTGAGAAATGTCTATGCAATAAATAAATACTGAGCCAATTGTTATAAAAGTTGGAAACTTGTATTAATTACTTGATACGTTATCTTTCTTAAAGTATAACGGAAAATATGCTAAGCCTTTCAAAGTCAAATGCGTATTACACTATGTTTAATAATACAGACGGATCAATATGCTTACATGCGAGTACGTATAATGTACTTTCCTTGTCATTTTTCTAGAGAGACGTACTTATATTTCATATCCCAATCTATGTTCACCCTATTTTTCCACCCTTACATCGACTTTCAATTTGGGTGCTAGGGTTATTAAGAAATAAACGGGTGGTCGAGATCAATCTATTTTTGTTATTTTTTCCCCGTTATTTTTAACAGTGGATGGGAGAGTATTGTTATCATGATTATTGATAACAGTATTAAGTAGTATCATCAATTTTCATTATATATTATATAATATATATAAATATATATAAATCATTTTTTTAAATAAATATATGTAAATATATATAAATTATATAATAGATGTAGCTAGAAATATTTTGTAATAAAATAAAAACAAGTTGTTTTATTCTTCTAAAATAACGAGTTTGTTATCTAATTACATTTATATGACATACGACTCATTTAAGCTTATTAAGAAGAAGCGTGTACGAAACAAATTATCCACGTTAAATCAAATTACTACACGTATATCATCGAAATACACACACACACACAGAATGTTCTGAAATTATGTTTCAATTTTACTTTACTTATCTAGATGTTGAAATAATTAACAACTAGATCGAAATGTTAAAAAAAAACGTAGATTACATTATGGATATCATAATAGAACATAAAAATTGCAATATTAATATTAGGTATAGTATTTTGTCATGTAAATTTTGTTATTGTAAAAGTATTTTCAGGAACAGACATTGTTCAATTTATATTTAATAAGCAAAAATGTAAAAATACAAGAAACTTTATTTTATCAGTTTCTTTCTTGAAGAAATAAATTTCTTTTTTCTTTATAATGTATTTTAATATAATTGGTTGTCCGAATTTAATATAATTATAGTTGCCCGAAAAAAATTTATCTATTGTCATCAATGATGGCATATCAGTTTAATATTCCTGTTGCGTGCATATTCTCTTTCCAGCATGAATCATTCGTGTAATATCCACATAACGCATGCGTGTGATATTAGTATATATATATTGTTAATGTCAGTATTCATCCAGTTTGCTAACAACGCGAACTTAGTCTGTTTCTTATTTATCGAAAAATGTCTTGTTAAAGAATAGTTTTGATATTGAATCAAGAAGACAAGAAGATTTAAAAATAAAGAAACTCACAGAGACACATCTCAAACTCTGATCAAATGAGAAACTTTATTTTATATTTTTTCCTTTTGATTCATAGTTTATATTGACGACATCAATAAAAAATATAATAACTATAATTGTAAAAAAAAATAATTTGTATTTTTAATACTTCACGATCACCTGTCATCAGAATTTGGCATAATTTGGTCTATCCGTTTGATAAACGCGAGTAACTCGATAGAGACTCGTATTTCGATTTGCAGGTAGCACTTCTACTCAAGAGAGATCCAGACTGAACCTGAACGGAAGCCGTCAGATCTCGAGAAGCGCCACGGAGCTCCGAGACAGCGAGATCGCGAACCGCTCGCCATCGAGGCGGGATGACGGATCGGGTGAATCAAGCGTCATCCACCATCATCGGCATCATCGGCACCACGGCACGATATCGGTCGCGCAGCGCACTCACACTTTCTTCGCGACTCTGAAGAGTCGTTGGGCTCGCAGCAGGAGCAAGGAGCGAAAAAAGTCGAAGGATGCCAGCAGCGTGCAGTCCCAGGACGCGGGCCAGCTTAAGAATCCTGGCGTCGAGTCCGATTATGCCGCCGATTACTCTTCCGAGCACAGCAGAAGCTCCTCGGCCACCCAGAGCCCGGCCAGGCACTGCCTCAATCGTCCAGGTGAACGATATATTCCTTTCGACTAACTTTTCTGTGAAATTTGTCTGTGTATGCGTGTGCGTTGTGTGTGGCAGACAGATTTTATTTTGAATATAATTAATTTAAAAAAATACAATTTAAAGTGACAAGCAATAAATCCTCTCTGTCAAAGAAGAATATGATGCTTTTATATGCACGCTGACGACCCTGGCTGATGGTTGCAAAGTTTAATCTGTATCCGATATTTGCATATCTACAACCAGTTCATGGTCTGACTGTCAAATAGAACGCCAACTTTGAACTGATATACATTTCCGTGATATCCAGTTAAATTCAAACACGAAAAGTTGAAAAATATTTTTGTTAATAATATAGTGTGTTTCTTCAAGATTTAAAAATATATCTAAATAAATAAATTGTTAAATTTAAAGTGGAACCCAGAAGAAATACATATATGTAGTTGAATTTTAAAAGAACTTAAAATTGAACACGTGTATTCTTGGGCCGCGACAGAAACTTATTATAGGATTTATGAGATATGTATTTGATCTGTACTTATGTATAATGGAAAAGTTCACGGTCGTCTGATGACATAACAATCGTATACGGACAGTATTATGACACGCACGCTATGCATTGAATGAATGCACAATGAATTGAATCACTGTTATGCAACGAAGTTCTAAGTGGCATCTCTGCTTTCCGTTTCAAGCGTTTATAGCAGCGCTTTTCAAACTGTGTTGGACCAAATATCGAAGAACTCATGCCAAGTATCTTATCTATATAATGTCGCAAAAGGAATTAAATCTTTCTTATAAATGTTCACATTTGGAGAAAAATATAGAAATATTTATTTCTTGTTTTTATATTAGTCATTCTCAATTTATTCAAATTTCTTTAAGCGTTCTCAATATTAGGAAAAATTCTGAACTTAAAAATAATAGTGTCTGTGAATTTTAAATTTATGTTACGTTTAAACATATTTTTATGTAAGCATGCTTTATTTAGTATTTTTTTTATTCCAAGTTACTTTGCATAATAAAAAAAGCGCACGTGTCTATAGTAAAAAAGATTTTATTAAAAAGTTTAAAAAATTTAACCTTTACAATCTTGTATATGAGTGTATATGTGTCTTGGTTAAATTGATAGAGAAACGAGGAAAAAAATGAATACCTATTAAATTTATTCGGATAACTGGTTGCTCGAAAGCAAATTGTTGCATTCTTCGCTCAATAAATTGGAGTTTATTAACAAACCGTTCGATTTAATAATTGAACCTTTTTGCAAAATATAGTTTTGCCGTCACAGAATTAATTTTCTGTCGAAGCATTAGAATAGGATGATAAATACAACTGAATATGCTTTTAGAAGGCAAATCACTTATAATAATTGAAAATATATTCGCGTGTGAATGTAAGATGAAATATTAATAAATCGTGATTTCGTTTATATACGCACATATAAATTATTACATATAAAAGCGAAATCGGTGATGAATGGTATATATATATATAATTTAATATAATGGTTCTATGTATATATAATTGTGTGTGCAAATACTTATTTTTCGAGTTTAGCAGTGATTACTAATTTGCGGAGAGCGCGCGAATAAAATATTGAGCGTGCAGTTTGTATTTAATCCTGAAAGTCGATATGTGCGGCACGTTTAGACCCCCATTATATCAATTGATCCAAAATGCTTCAGCACGAATGCTGGCGTGTCTTGCTATACTTAGACAGATTAATCTGAAGGACTTTTCATGTACTTATTTTATAATACCGGCGTCAATACGTAGATATTTTTTTATATAAAGCTTCATTTCTTCACGAGAGAAACCATCGCGTAATTTCGTTTTCGTTTAATTGCATTTTTATTTTTACTACAATCTAATTTTTTTCAAATTTCTTTTATAACTTGACTTTTTATTGAATCAATTATTTTGTAAGTAATGATATAAGAAATTGAAAATATTATGAATTTTAAGAATATCACGAAATTTAGTTTCACATCGATGTATCTCACAACAATTTTGCACAATGCTCCAGTGTTTCAAGAGTAAAAATAATACAAGTAATTAATTGAAGGTTAAATATAGTCAATGACTGAGATTCAAAAATTAATATTATATATTATTAAATTTTTCTCTCGGACAATTTTAGAAATATTATTTTGTAAAAATGTGCAAAAGGTTATTCATCGATGAAATTCCTCTATTTTCGATAATCAAGTTTGTGGCAAAAGAATGTTGTCCTCGTCAAGGTCGAGAATTATCGAGTATCAAAACTAACACTGCTATACGTATCTCTTAATACATTTTACATGTGCAGAATCTCCGTTGGCACGTGGTGGCCGAGAAAAAGGCATGACTATGCAAGAAGACGGGAAATACGGCGAGGGATATTCGAAAGGAGCCGCGAGCTTCCAGAAAGAGGGACACATGGGCGAAGTATCTCAAGGCTCTATTGGTCCGGATGGCGAGTTCATTCACGATGAGGCGATACGAAAAAGGGAATTAGCACTCAGGCAACATGCCTTCTTCCAGCTTCGTTTGCATATAAGAAGAGGCGCGAATCTCGTTGCGATGGATAGAGGCGGTAAGAGAAGAGAGATTTTTCACTACTTTAATATACATATAATATAAATATAATAATTATAATAATTATAAATTGAAATATAATAATATTTTAAAATATAATAACTATAATAATTATAATAATTATTATAATAAATATAATATATATGTATATTTTTTTTCGCGTGTTAGATGAAAATATTCACTATTTTAATATACATATATAATTATAATATATATGTATAATATAAATATAATAATTATAAATTGAAATATAATAATATTTTAAAATATAATTATAATAAATATAATATATATATATTTTTTCGCGTGTTAGATGAAAAGATTTACGCAAAATATATATGGAATATACATATATTTATACACTGAACAAAAATGTGTTAAATTAACAAATACTTAGTTCAATACGCGCGCGCGCGTTTAAATGAATCATTTATTTCAAACAAACAAATATTGATTTGTTTTGAAAAAGATTTTCTTATATCAGATAAATATTTTTAATATCAAATAAATATTATTAGTTTTAAATAAATGTTATATTTGAACGTATTGAACTAAAAATACTTATAAGAATTAACTAAATTGTTTTTCAGTGTATTGTACATCTATTTATAAGAGAATGAACAAACAATTCCCACAGTTATTTTATAAAGTAAATAAATCATAAAAATGTTATCTTAAAGTCTGTAAAATTATCTAACGTTATTTGAAGGTGTCAACGTTTTTATATCGATACATAAAATATAGCTCGAGATGGTTTCAAGCTCATTTGCAAGAATATAAAGTACCTTTTTATATCTGTCGACACATAGTTGATAAAATATTATAATTTATGACCGCTATTTCTTATCGTTTTAGGGGCCAGCGATCCTTACGTGAAAGTAAAATGTTCAGGACGACTATTGCACAAATCGCGAACCGTTCATCGCGATTTAAATCCGGTTTGGGATGAAAGCGTGACCTTGCCCATAGAAGATCCTTTTCAAGCACTTACTATTAAGGTATTTTTAGCAGTTTTCTTATAAGTTGAAATGTCGAATATAAATAAAATATTATATAAAAGACTATAATATATAAATATATCTCTTTAAGATATATAATTTCAAGTTTTTTTTTATATAAAACTAAAGATATTTATAAAAATAAAATATTGTCTTTAGTTTAAATTAAAGTAAATTAAGACAACTTATCTTATTTGTTTAGTAAATATAATTTTTATTTAGGACATATGCAATATTTTTATTGAAGCATTATCCAATAAAAAGTATTCCGACGAGAGATCAATATATACTTTTTATGTATTGACAGGTTTTCGATTACGATTGGGGTCTGCAGGATGACTTTATGGGAGCTGCTCAATTGGATCTAACACAACTCGACCTTGGACATTCTCAGGATATAACATTAGAACTTAAAGATCCGGGCAGACCAAAGCAGCATTTAGGCGAAATCTATCTGACGGCTACATTATGGCCCAGAAATCAACAGGAAAAAGAACAGGTATTTGTCACTTTTTAATTTGAAAACAGTTTTTATTTTATTTGAAACTTTTCAATATGTTTTCATTATTTCGAAAAATTTCATCTCCTTTCTTAATTCTACGGGAGAAACGAATCCCCTAATTAAACACACGTAATACCAAGCGAATATTCGAGAGTAGTATGTATCGAAAATGCATCAACTACGGGTGTACGAAGGATGTAAGAAGGGATGATAAACTAACAATAAGCGATGATTCTCGGTCGCGGTATAAAGAGATAGATGTGCCGTGCGTGTATTTATAGCGTATATATGAAGAATCTGGAAACTGGGTTGTGAGGGAAGTATGCGCCCGTATTACGGTATCGACTTGGCGGCTTGTCGTTGAAAGTGGAGTGCAAGGCCTGGCCCTTATCATTGGAGCTCCACTTACATTTTAACTACATAATATTAAATGCCATTCCGTCATGTCGCGATAAATAATTAAGCGAGAACTCCAAGTATTACGTTTCGCGTCAGGCATTAAATCTGCTTTTAGGAATTCATAATTAATTAGCGCACACGGGAGAGCACAGCCTTATGTACATAACAATGCCATACTTATTGCAGAAGTGTTGCTTTGTTGATTTAAACTTTATGCTAAGTCACTGCTCATATCTGGATTTAAATTTTAATGATTGTCTCACTTCTTGATGAATATTAATATTTTAGAAAATTCCTCATTTTATAATTAAAATTTATAATTTGACTACATTTTATTACTCTAGAAATTTAATTTGATATTATATTATTGCATTGAAATAATTCATAGTACATAAAAATGTTAAAGATTCGCTTTTAAAATTTATTCAGAGAATAATATAAAATAATTAGATGTTTTTGATTATTAATTTCTTCCATTAACGATAAGCCATAATATTCTATTGATTTTTTAGACTCCTTTATAAGTTGTCTTTCGAAGATAAAGAAAATGCAAAATATAATATTATCTACATTTTATTTTCTAAATTGAATAAATTTAATATTGGAAGATAATATATTTCTTCCTCTCTCTATAAACCCGAAAAAACACATAATAGCATATTGAAAGGAAATTAAGCAAATTTCATTTGCACTTTGTTGATTTAAACTTTAATTTCTGTTTTCCTTCTTAAAGAATATTAATATTCTAGAAAATTCATAATTAAATTTATAACTGCATTTTATTGTTTTAGAAATTTAATTTGACATATTATTATATATTGAAATACTTGATTAAAAAATGTTAAAGGAGTAACAAATTAGAATAGATAAGATTTATTTTTAAAATTTGTTCAGAGGATAATATAAAATAATTAATGTTTTTGGTTATTAATTTCTTTCTTTTTACTCATATATGTATAACAAAATAAAATATTGTATTTATACATATAATATTTTATTTTACGATAACCTATATATATGACATTATATATTGACATTATATATCTTCAAAATTCTTTACAAGTTGACTTTCGAAGATAAAGACATAATATTATCTATATTTCATTTTCTAAATTGAGCAAAGAACATTATCTATATTTTATTTCCTGAATTAAGCAAATTTAATATTACTCTCATTGGAATATGACATCATATTTCTTCCTCTCCTTATAGATAAAAAACATCCATAATAGTATATTAAAATAGAATCAGACAAACTTCGCATTATCATTATCCTATACGACGTATGTGTGTCTGTTTCCTTCTCTATGAATTGAGAAACATTCACGACGGAATATCGTGCTTTGCGGTTGTAACATCAGGTATATGTCTTAATGTTTACCGACGTAACATCAGTTTCTCGATTAGAGAGGGAAAGGAAGGCCAATTGGTCAACATGTTCCGCCAGTTGTCGGCGAGGTGTACTTAATAGTCGGACGAGTTTTGCCATCTGTCAGAGCGATAAGTGCATCGTCGCTTATCAATGCGACGTGGATACGATATAAGATGCTACCGGTTCGTGGGTGAACTTCATTATACAGTGGTAACAAGTTTGCTGTTGTTGATAAGAGACTTCCACGGTTGGCCACGTGATTGAGCCCATCCGTTTATATCTCTCGTGACTCAACGACGTTAATCGGCAATATCCAATATCGTTATCATTGTAAGTGAGCGAAGTCGAATATTTGCACTTTATGCTTTCTGTAAACGAGCGAGAGTGAGTCAGCGCGCATAAGTGTCTTCTCGCCAACAGTTTCTTTCACACTCTAGTGCGTACCGGCTTCAATTGACATCAGTGTGCCAAGTGAGCTTCAGTGCGCCGAACAGCTCTTCAGATTTGTCTCGAGTGTTGTTATCAAACGTTTATTTTATTTATTCCGAGAGATATACTCCAAGATATATGCTATAGAGATATGATATGACGCGTAAGTGCATTAATATTTCAGATTATAAAGTGGAAAAAATTATTAATTGAGAGGAAAAAAGTGTCTAGAACTTCTCAAGGTATGCCGAGTCATTGCCTTTAAATAGAGGTAATTTCCACTGCGTTATGCAATTTGCCCGATGGCATTTTCGTGCGAAAACATTAAATACACTCGTCACAGAATCGTGAGAAGCTAAATGACGAATGAAAGACGGAGCAGAGGCGATATCGGACATCTGGTTCTGTTATGACGTGAATCCATTAGCAATGAAGGATGCAAGTCAATCGAACGAAACATAATAGTAGTGACCTTGGATTAAGAAGCTCTTATGAAGAGCATCGACGAAAATAACACATAGAGGTTTTTCTCTCGACGAGCAAAATAAAGAACTCGATATTACTAGAAAATTTGAAAAATTTTTAAACCGAGCACACATTACTCTGAAAAACAAGTTTTGTCGAGTTTGTTGAACTTTGATGTTCAATCTACAGTCCATTTGCGCAAAATCGATACCTCGGCGAAAAGAACAAATCGCGCAAAATTAATACCACGTGGAAGATCAAATCAAAGATTCAAGATGAATGTTACATCCGAAGATTTCTCATCTGCAGAGAATATTGCGAGTAAACTTAATATTCCCGAGATCAAAGTTACGCCGGAAATTGATGTCGCTTTCAAGATCGCATGCGAAACAGATGCGGTGCCGGAGAAAAACTTTGCCAATGATGCATCTAAAGTCGACGCAGTATCTGAGATTCACGTAATGTCTAATACGAATATAGTATCTAATAAAATAAATAGAACACCCATCGATAAATCATTCGATATTGATGCGCCTCCCAGAAGATTACGTCGGAAACCTCTCGTGGACCAACGAGAAGGTCGTCCTGTCGTAATATCGAATCTAACCGTGTCAAAACAAAAATTCGGAACGGACGATACGGACGACACTGATGGAGAAAATGTAATAGATAAAAATAGAAAAGATGACGTCTTGACGTCGGATAGCAATTCTTTCGAAAATATTCAACATGAAGAAAATTCGAGAGAATCGAGTTCTCTCGCCGACGAAAAATCGAAAATCCAGCAGGCTGCTGCAATTGAAGAATTGCTTACCGAGACAATTTTCGAAACTAAAGAAGCAAGATCGAACACTGTTGAAAGCGAAAAATCGAAGTTAGAGAGAGCGTCTGCGATGATAGGTGCTTGGAAGACGCGAGTGGCTGAAGCATCAATCGAGAAGCGATCTGGAGTGAAGAAAAAAAAGGCGAAGCTGAGAAGTACTATGGGGCGGAAGATGGAATCAATCGAGAGGATGTTGGAGGATCACGTGGAACGGATCTGGGAAGAGAACGTGGAGAAACATTCGTGGTTGCAGCCAATCGACACGTGGATCGGCGACCATTGCAAGCCTTCCACCAGCTACACAGTGACGTATTCTCAAGGAGACGTCAATGAGGATGTTGTGTCAAAACCCGCGCATTCCAAGCCGACGACTAACGAGGAGCTGAAAATCGAGAGCGAACCGGAGGCGACGATTGATGAACCGAAAATCGAGATAAAGATGATTGAGCATTTGCGGAGATTACGAAATCATCGGGCCGGTTCTCTGAAATTACGTCGATTCGAATCCGCTAATCTAACCGAACAGCTGAAGAAACAAGAAACTGTTCCCTCGCATGAGGAAATTGGAGAGGAAAATCCTAATGTGTTAATCGATCCCGATAGTGTTTTGGAAGTAAAGGAGGTCAAACGCTACGATCTTTTGGATAAGCTGAAGGATAACGTTAAAGAGAAGATAGAGGATATTCATAGGGTAGTCAAATTAATATTTCTTTCTTATGTGTAAAATTTGTAACAAATTATAAACTACCTCTTGTATCGTCAAAACCGATTACGGTAGAAATAATGTTTTTATCTTAAAATTCAATACTTATATAGATCACAATTGCATAATATTTTACCTGCTTTTTTTATATATGTTTATAAAAGAGTATATAATTAGAGCTTTTTAATTGGAGTTAAACAACTAATTTTTTTTATAAATCAAACAATGGATTTTTAATTATTTAATAAAATGAATAGATAATTTAATTTCACATTTTTATATTATCAAAAAAAATTCTAAATAAATGATCTTTTTAAATAACATTTTCTAATAATAATATGTGAATTATAATAGATGTGTGTTAAGCACAGAAATATCAGTAAAATTGAAAGGTCAAATAATCGATTTTATTGGGAATTACTTTCACGCGTTACTTCTTTTATTAAGCTTGTTCTTTTGTTGAGTTTATTGAAAGCTTTTTTTAATAAAGAGTGACTTGAACAATTGCAACATTTCAGTCGTGTGCACAACCATTAATTATTGTCTCCAATTTCCAATAAAATTATCATTATATCTATATTATATTGCAATTACTGCATTATTATTATTATTATTATTATATTGCACTTTAAGTTTCATATATAGTCCTGCTAGTAAGAATTTTATTTAGCGTCCCATTTTTCACGTTACAGTACTTCCAGAAGACCAATCGATTAGCAGACGTAAATAGACGATTAAAATCACAAATATGGAGTTCGGTGGTTACAATTGTGCTCGTGGAAGCAAAGAATTTATTGCCGATGGACATAGATGGTTTATCAGATCCTTATGTCAAATTTCGGTACGTAAATGTCATCCATTCATAAAATAAAACTACATAAATTAAACATTACTTTTGATTTTTATTTAATTCAAAGAAAATATATTACAACATGAATAATTTGTCTATTAATTTTACTGTTTTTACTGCAAAAGTTGAGTGCAAAAATAAATTCTGCTTTAAATGTTATTAAACCTAAATTGATTGAAGTTTTAAAAACGTATTTGCAATTCAAGCTGCAATCATTCAAGCAATGGGAAAGTTCGACTATAAAATCTAATTTCGCGTCCCAATTTACAGACTCGGCACGGAGAAGTACAAGTCGAAAGTCGTTAATAAGACATTGAATCCAGTTTGGTTGGAGCAGTTTGATCTCCATCTTTACGAAGATCCGTATCTGGGGCAAGAGTTGGAGGTAACAGTCTGGGATCGAGACAGGAGTCATCAGGACGACTTAATGGGCAGAACGGTGATCGATCTGGCTACTTTGGAGCGGGAAACCACCCATCGGCTATCGCGCGAACTCGAGGACGGGTCGGGCAATATTTTTTTACTCTTAACGATAAGCGGTACCACGGCCAGTGAGACAATCAGCGATCTGGCCGTGCACGAGGAAACGTCGACGGAGCGCACTCAATTAATTCAGCGTTATTCCATTGCAAATACTCTGCAGAGGATACGCGACGTAGGTCACCTGACAGTGAAGGTAATTAAACACGATTAACGTACTGATATATTTTGGAGTGCTAACTTTCTTAGAATGTTCCTCAGGAATTATTAAGATTGTTACATAAGTCATATTCACACATTTCTTGATTATCATTAAGAAGTTTATTTTTATTAGTGTAATTAAATTTATATTTTCAATTTATTTCTTTTCGAATCATTTTTAGTAAGTTTATGTTTTTATGATTTTTCAGATATTATAGCTAGAGATAATTATTCTGATTAATAAAAGTTAACAAAAGTTATAACTTAAAAATTGGGGCAAATTTGGTTTTTAAGTAATTTTTTGCAAATATTTTTCAACTATTTTTCAATCGTATAAATGTAATAAAATTTAAAAAAATATAATAAAAATATTATATAATAATATAATAAAAAAATTGATTTTTTCTTAGACTTTTTCAAAATAAAACGAATAAACTTTCTAACAAATCTCATCTTGAGTATCTGTTTCTAATTCAGTTTTTTCACAGGTATATCGAGCGCAAGGTCTGGCAGCGGCCGATCTCGGCGGTAAGAGCGATCCGTTCTGTGTTCTGGAACTTGTAAATTCCAGATTACAAACACAGACGGAATATAAGACTCTGGCACCGAATTGGCAGAAAATTTTCACTTTGTAAGTCAATTTAATTAAAAGCATTTTTAACGTGAATTATCGTAACATTATCAAATATTTAAGTAGAAAAGGTCAGATTATGATCGGACATTTCATCCCATTTCAAATGTAATCGAAAACGAGTTCTATTTTATTTCAACAGTAATGTAAAGGATATCAACGCCGTCCTAGAAGTGACGGTATACGATGAGGATCGGGATCACAAAGTAGAGTTCTTAGGGAAGGTGGCGATACCATTACTAAAAATTCGTAACGGGGAGAAACGATGGTACGCTTTGAAGGATAAAAAGCTTAGGGGTCGCGCAAAGGGTAACTGCGCTCAGATTCTTTTGGAAATGACTGTAATGTGGAATATATTCAGAGCATGCGTCAGAACGCTTAATCCGAAGGAAAAGAAATACATGGAGCCGGAAGTCAAATTCAAGAGACAAGTCTTTCTGCGGAACGTCCTCAGGCTTAAGGCTATTATCGTAATATTTATTGACATAGGGAAATATATGCAGTGAGTGACCTCAACTTTCTCTCTTCTTTCTCTCGATATCATTTTTCTTTGATTTAGATGATAAATGTTTTATATTTTGAGAAAATATAATTCTAAAATTTTTATATCATGCTTTCTAGCAAAAGAGTCTCGGACGGAATTGAAATAGATTTTTTAATTTTTTAATTAGTTTGATCGATTACGATGCTATGTATTTTTCGCTTTTTCCCACGGTTAGGAGCTGCTGGGAATGGGAAAGTAAGATGAGAAGCATTATCGCTCTGGTCCTTTTTATTCTTGGATGTTACTACTTTGAACCATATATGATACCAGGTCTGGCGTTATTGATTCTTCTGAAATACTACTTGGTACGACATTTTTATTATTGATATTATCAAGTTTTAATCTCTCGCGAGTACTATCTCAAAATTCCAAAAGTTAATATAATTATCTTGACACTTTTTATATGTAAAAAATATCATTATTTCATAAGATTGTTTTAAAATCATAATATTCAATCTATTTTTTCACGCTGTAAATATGCAATATATTTATTAATTGATAAAAAAATTGTAAAAGAAATGAAAATTTTTTAGTGCAAGGGATTAAAACTCGACTTATTACCAGCACGACATTTAAAATCCTTTCAATTCTTAATTGTTATGCTAAAACGCTTTACTATACTTTAATTAATTTTTGATTCTTTAGTCTTTATTCTTCGCTCCTTATTGCCTTCCGCAGACCTATCAGCCAAGTATGTACAATGATAAAAAATCATTGGTTGAAAAATCACATCCAGTGAATAAAGCATGCGCTTCTTAAATATTCACGTTATTCGATAATTTTATTGTAAAATCTTGACACATGTATATAAATATCCCATGTATTCGCGACTTAAGTTTGAATGAAAGTTCATATATTTTCGTAAGAAAAGAATGTCAAAAGAATAAATAATTGGAATTATATATAAATCGTGTGTATGTCTATGTAATGTTTAATGTTCTGCCGTGTTCCGTTTACATTTAATTCAAATAGATTCAAAATGATGTATATTAATGATTTCAAAAAATATATCTGTTCCCTCTTATCCTATACAAGAATTAAAGACTGATCAAAATTAAAGTTCAGAGTACAAGTCCAGAGTTCAAGTAGAGTTGAAAAATGTCAGAAGCAAAATTTTTTTGCAGAGCTATTATATCTTAAGAATAAAAATGTACATAATTTGAATAATAGAAAAATAGAAGTCATGTAATCAAACTATTATCTGAACTATTCTTCAATTTCTTATGAATGTTTAACTGTTTGATATTCTAATTGATTTGCCCTTATATTATCAATTTATCCCGCACAAGTACAAGTTACGTTCGTTTTGTTTCTTTATTGGCTGTTGCATGTCGAATTTGTTTGCTACCTGTCAGCTTAGCGGCGAAAGGAGCGGGTTCAATCATTGGATTTGCGGACAGGTTGCTGTGGTGACGGGTGCGCCTTTGATTTACGCAAGTTCGCAGTTCCAAGATCATGCTGAAGGATCTGACGATTGCCCTGTGACGCCAGGGGACGATGACGACGACGAAGATGACAAGGATAAAGTAAGTTATTTGCAAAAAATATGCAATTTCATTACCCAAAGAATAAGAAAGTACTTTTTCGCGACAAAACTTTTGTATACATTTGATACACGAGTTTTCCTTCATTAATATAATTGTACGTAAAATAATGCATAATAAATTGCTACACCGTTAGATCTAGAAGATATTGCTAGGATAATCTCATTACAGATGCTAATGCGAAGATAATGATAAATATGGCAAATTCTTATTTGCGTGCTCCATTCAATAAACTTAACATCGTGACCTTCGACCTATATAAATTAATCAATGTAGATTGCTCTCGCGTTAGTTAACTTTAATAAGCTGAAGTGTTAAGAATTAAGCGCCTCCGCAAAATATTCTAGCAATAATGTCCGGGTAAAGATATTATCTTTACAACATCTTGTTTAAATAACAGCGTAGTATTTAATCGTGCAAATTTAACTGCGCCTGCATAGATATCTCGCATAAAACTCATTTATAATCAGAAGATAAGAAGTAATTAGTTTTACAAATGTTAAATATCCAGAAAGCATATTCCTTTTTTTCGAATATATTTACTAAACTTTATATACGATCTGAAAAAAATATAATTTATTTAAAATGTTTTATTATATCTCAACTTTGCTTTCTTGTTTGTATCGATGTTTTATTTAGCTCTAATTTTGTAAATCAGAAGATCTATTTACTGATTTTAATAGGTTGAACACATACTTTTAAATAATGTTTGAATAACTAGAATATTTGAAAAATTATTATTTTCTGGATATTTAAACATTATTAAATTATTTGTATTTATTAAAATATATATACGACTTTTCAGGAGGAGAAAAAAAGTCTGAAGGAGCGTTTGCAAGCGATACAAGAAGTGACGCAAATAGTTCAGAACTCGATTGGCTACATAGCTAGTCTTTGCGAGAAAGTGAAAAATCTCTTCAACTTCACGATTCCTTACTTGAGTTATTTAGCGATCCTTCTGACGATCGCCGGAGCAGTTGTGCTCTATTTTATTCCTGTCCGGTACTTAATCCTCGCCTGGGGAGTTAATAAATTTGCTAGAAAAATCTTCAGGCCTCACTCCGTGCCCAACAACGAGCTCCTCGATCTTATATCTAGAGTACCTGACGATGAAGAGCTGCTTAATTATAAGTGAGTAATTAACGATAATCTACATTAGCGCGCGCACCGTTATCTCTCAGAATTAATCGGATTCTTTCGCTTATAGATGTAAAACATCCGTGCCAACATTTCAGGAAACTCAAGTATAATATGGTTTGATGTTATGTTTGATATTAAGTTGTGGATGCACTTTTGGTGTTATAAAATAATGAAATAAAATTATAAATTTAACTGGATTATATATCATTTTATATTTTAATATTTTTGTATCTTTGAGAAGTAGAAAAAAATCAGTTAAAAATTAGCAGTTTTTATGGTTATCTATATCTGTTATAAATAAAAGAAATAAACTCTATATAAATCATAGAATATAAAAAAACTAAAACAAAAGCTGCTAACATTAAATAATTATTTAAAGATTAATAATATTATATAACAATAAATAAGTAAAAAATAGTATAAAAAATTACAAAGCTATTTGTGAGAAATTCTGAATTTTCTTGAAAAAAAATTCTTTCGCTTCTCAAAGAGGGAGGAAGAGAAATGCAATATTACTGAACACACTAACACAACCAATTTTGATTTTCTTTAATAGTGCAATGGATGTTTTCCTCGTAATTTATCAGCGAAGCTTCGTATCACCTTTGATATAATCGATCTTATTAAAGTGCTTGGCGTCTTCGAGTCCGTAAAGAGATGCGAAGGAAATCTTTTAACGCGTATCTTTTTGCAGAGAACTGAAACCTGTGCCGACAGCGGATTGCGAGAGAGGCTCGGGCAGTCCCAGTTTAAATACGAGACGAGAGCAAAGGAAAAGGCACAAAGCGGCGTAGCAGAATTACCCGCGGCCGGAAGTCGCGGGTCCTACAAGGTCGTCCAGTATCCTTAAATCGGTCCTGCTGCGCCGGAAATTGCGACAGCGAAAAGGATCAGCGGAAAATATGGATGTGATCGACATAGACTGAATATATACCTACTTTCATTTTCTACTCTCCCTAAATCGTAAGAATTTTGTCTATCGTCAGTCGTTGGCGAAGGTATCGCACGTGATATTGCCTCGAAAGAGGCAAAAAGATATAGAAATTATTGACAATGACAAATTTTAATGTTGAAAGAGACTAGCAAAGAATCGGGATGGAGAGATATTTCTTACGTGAATAATGAAAAAAAAATGTTCTTATTGCGGAAGATAAGAATATTTTATACTGCGATAAAAAAAAACGATTGATGATCATATGATGTATCTTAAAATATATATATCAAATGTAAGAAGTTAAATATAGAGAGAGAGTATAAAAAGACGCAATACACGCGTTGAAATATATGTCGTGGAACATTATATAAAATACGAAATTATATAGAATTACGAATATGTATCAAATATGTATAATAATGTATTAGGAAAATTGTCATTACTATTTTTTCAAATATATTATATGATCATGTCGTTTTTACTTTCCGCAGTCGATCGTAGTTCTCCACGATACTAAACGGAGATATTATTGTTATTTTATAATACGTATGATGCATATGTGGTCAATGATAATCTTCTTCCAATCTTTAAATAAATCAGAGGAAGTCAATTGAAGATAAAATTATATCTAATCATCTAATTCTTTTTAGATATAAATCCATGATAATAAATGCTTGAAATTTTGATTATACTTCGAATTTCTATGTTATTGATGATGATGATATCAAGAAAAGTATGATCAGCGGAGAAGTTTGTATAATGTATTTTAAGATTTAAATTTAAAAGTTAAAAGAAATTGATATTATTTATTCGAGAAGATTCAAAGATTTAAAAACATAAAAATACAAAAGTATAAGCCAAAACACCGAAATAAAAGCTTCGAAAAATACAGAAATAGATGGTAAAAAGTAAGCAAATATATATATTAAATATTAATATATATTAATATAATATACATATATAAATATTAAATATTAATATATATAAATATATTATAATATATACATTATAAATATATTATAATATATATAAATATTAAATATTAATATATATATATTAAAAAAAGAGGAATTATTTTTAAAATATCTTATTAAAAATTTCATTATTTAATAATATTGAAATCGAATGAGAAAAAATCAGCTTCTTCCTTGATCATTTGATTTAGACCAAAACAGTATGTAATGACTTTTTTACAATAATATGCTAATAAACAGAAAAAGAGAGAGAAAGAGATAGAGCCAAGAAAAGAGGCAGTGACACAGGCAAGGCAAATCTTGAAAGTATTATATTAAAAATATTATTTAAAAAGAAGATCGCGTTTCGAGCATATCAAGGAGAGCAAGGAACGTGTGTTCTTAGAAATTCGTTAGTTAACCAATTGATCAATTAATGGAGATAGATATTTAAATAAAGCGCGACGACAGTTCCCTTATAGGAACGCATATGTCGATCGTTTCGTCCATCGGTGTCATTAGTTAGCCATTAGATATCGTTACGAGAATTAGAGAGATGTAAGAGCAAGTATAAATATTTTTCAGGGCAAAAAAAATTTCGCATAACTGGGCTTCGCAAAAGAATATTATAATTGATTTTAAATAATTAATTCGGATGTTCTGCCGCGCTTTTCTTATCACTGCTACCGCTTCCGAAATCTTTGTATCTATATGAAATGTACGCTAAAGCTTTTAAAGGGAAATACGTTTTAGAATTTGTGATGAATAACTTGATGAAGATGTAGAAAAGTAGTTTTTTCGTGATTTTTTAAATAACAAGTAACACGGCACAACTTCCGCATTAACTCAATACATTCGCGCATGCGATTACGCGAAATTGTATACGCACGCTTATATAGGTTGCGCGCGATATTCTCTTCTAAAGCGTCTGACGTTATTTAAGTCTTCATTTCAACGCACACGTTTGTTGATTAAATAAGCGAGAGAAAGCACGAAATTATTTTATATATGAGCATTTCTGTATATTCGCTGAAAAAATCATTGCTATGCGCGAAAAAAGCTTTGCTTTTTCACTAGAAATTATTCAAGTGAGTATTTTTACAACGATGTTTGCATCTGGATCTCTGATTAGATAATATTACTACCGAAACCTGTATGCAATAACTTTCTTATTGCGGGAATAAATAATTCAATGTAACCTGGTGTTACATTGACGATTTTATCGTGTCTTTTTAATACAATTATATAATCATAGGTGCCGTGATATTTTCTGTCCAACACGCATTCGTTTCTTATGTTAAATTTCATGTTGCGTAATTGTGAAATATAAAAATTTAAAGAATTATATTTTGAATATACATAGAACAATTATTCGTGATACATAATACTTTGAATAACAAAATAACAAAATTATAATTTATACCTAATTTGAGAAGAAAAACATCATATTCTTCCATTCAATTTTCATAAAAGTTTTATTTGAAACTTAATTTCAAAAGATATAAATGTTAAAAATTGAAATGCACGAAAAATAATGACCTTTCTTATTTTTATTAAGAAAAGATTTGTTTCGAATAATTTGATCGAAGAAGCTATGATTAAAAGGATAATCGATGGTGTTAAGACGTGTTGTTTTACGTCAATAATATGTTAAGTCATTAATTAAATAGAGAATGTGCAATAGAGGTGGAATTTCTTCGCGAAAGCTGAAGGAAATGTCACGCGCGATGATTACAAATGCAGGCTCGTTATGCAAAAATGCACTCACTTGAAAAGGCGGATAGTACATATAAATATTTATTTCTAGCCACGATTTTACCGGCTGATAGAGAAAGAATAGAGAAAAAGAGAGAGAGAAAAAGAGTAGTATCGCTGATCCATTTTTCGCTTTTCTAATTATATACTATAATCGTTATACACTGTGCATACGTCTGTTTGCAATCTTTAAATCCTCAATTTATTCATTCTCATCCTATATATGCGCCTCAATAATCCTTCTGGCACAATATTTTAAACAATCTCTTATGAAGCACTTACATGCGGAGCGTATTTACTCAAAAACATATGACACTTATACACATAACAGACAGAGTATTTCACTATTGGATTCTTTTCAGATCATTTTCACAGATTCTTTGATCAATTTGTAATGGTTTTTCTATTAACAAAAATATTGAGTCATCTATATTTATATATTTTGTATAGTAATTAATGATTGAAGAAACAGTCTGACGAATAAAAGTTTAGTATGAAAAATATAAATGATAAAATTATATTTTCGATTTTTTTTAAGTCAAATTTCAAGTAAATTTTGATAAAATTTTAATTTAATTTTACATAGAGATATATAGTATAAGTTAAAAATTGAAGAAATGCGTACATAAATAACGATCTTTCTCGACATTTTTGTTAAAAAAAAATCTTCAAATAATCAAAGAAGTTGTAATTATATAAATTTAGTTATGGAACATAGATATGAATACAACACCCTTTTTTGTTACCAAAGGCCTAAGAGGCGAGCTAAAATAAATCACATTTCACATACACACACACACACACACAAATGCATTGTAACAGAGCTTTACATTTACATCATCTAGTCAACGAATTTACTTAAACACTCGTGATACCTGTGAAATCATTTCCAATGCGTTTCTGGGACTTCCCAATTCTCTCTGATTAATTTTTAATATATACCATATATATAATTTTATCTACTTTACTAATACATTGCCAAATATTTCAATATAACGACATTATATACCAAATTAGTACATCTTTTATGTCTTTTTATTTATAAAAAATGTCCTAGATATATATTTATCTTAAAATGAGTTTAGTTACTTAGAAATTAAAGTTTAATATTTTTAGTGTATTATATTTTATTTTAAATAATAAAAGATAGTATTATTTCGATGAAATCAAATCTGAAAATCGAGTCAATAAAATTACCTCTATCACAATCGAAACGTAATAATTAGTTCGCAAAGTATTATATTTCTTTGTATATATCTATAAAGTGTATTGAAGGGATAATAGTTTGAGATGGAACAGAAAAGTCAATATTGAATTGAAAAATTTTTAGTTGTTCGGAAAATGCTTTCTTAAAAACTTATTAAAGCTTGTTGTTAGTTATAGCTTATATATTATATATTAAAGAAATTATATTCTTGATAAAAGAATATTCTTACTTTTACATCTTGATTGTAAATAATTATTTTGCATATTTTACTTAGAAGATACGAATATAATATATTTTCATATATTAATTTATATCAGTTTTACTCAAATATATATATTTTACTCCAATAATATACATATATGTAGAAAGTTATTCATACAATTTTTAAATATCTCATGGAATATTTTACTGTAAATTTAAATTCTACTTGCGTTTACAAGTAGTTGTATTATGTTTATTTAAATCTACAATTCATGCCAGAATTAAAAAGCGATTCTGATTATCGAGACAAGTACCTGTTATTAAAATCAAGCATCAGTATTAATGAAGAGTAACATTACGAATATACAGTAGATATATTCAGATGTTAAACTCGTCTTTTAACTATTCCTAGTCCTTTTCTACTCTTCCAGTTTTGTACTTCAATAAAATTCCCCTTCTGTAATCTACACAATCTATATATTTTATCCCCATATTTTATTGTCTTCACTATTTTCAAGAATACTTAAACTTTGTACGAATCACGTACATATACATATACACACACACATATATATATATATAATATGCCTTAGATTAGTGAGTAGAGCTCTATTCTATTCTTGAAGGAATTAAAAATTCAAAACTTTTCATATCTAACACGAGTTTAATCTGTACGCTTTATACTTATCGCTATACTTAATTGCTTTTGAATGTCGATGAGATCTATTGATTCTCAAATTAAATATTCAAAGAATGAAAGATACAGCTGCATCTGTGAATTAGTAAATTTTCAACTGTCAATTTAGGAGTTCAAATTGAAGAGTTTATTTTCACAAATTGCCTTACATCCATAATTTTAAAAAAATACGAAAATTCATTATATACATATACATATATACGTGCCACATAATAAAGCTGTGGAAATTTTTATGATACCGCATAAAATAATAATTTCCATAGCTTTTTATGTAAAATATAATTTTTACGCTTTAAATGGACTTGAGACAATTTGCAAAAACAAGCTTCGCAATTCCATTTCTTTGTACAAGGAAGTAATTTTCCTTGTACGAGCTTCGGGAACATTATACTTGAGCGATACGCACCGATACGCATCTTT